ATTATATTTCATTCTTTTCATCTTTTCTATCATTCCAAGTTCCTATCGCTTTGTCCTGTTATGTTCGAAAAATTCAATTTCGATTCTTTTACTTTATTCCCTTTCTGCCCTTATCTCTCATCTTATATTCCTGTTTCCTTATCTTCTTCTGTTGTCATTGGTCTATTTCAATCTATTCAATTCTTTATTACATTTTCTCCAACTTTCCACTGTTAGAATTTCATGTATTCAACCCTAGCAACTGGCAACGTATCGTCTACTATATAATTCATTTTTTTTTCATTTTTAGTAACATGGATGCAATATAACAGGAAATAAACGATTATCCGTCTTGCCTTGTTTTGCCTTTTTTATTTGTATCATTAGACTAGTAAACCGAAAACGAATTTCTTAAAAATGAAACGTGAGAAATACTCCAATATTATAAAAATTGTCGGTTATGCATTGTGCTTTAGCAAATGCAACCTTGGCGCAACAAATTTCGAAAACGAATTTTCAAGAAGATTTAAATAATGTTACCACCATCGGTGTCGTACTATTTAAGTAAAATTACCCACTGAATGTATAAAACCAGCTCAGTTAAACGCGATTAACAGAAAAGTGGCGTACAGTGGTGAACAATCGAATAAACATTTCGATTTTTCTATTATCGCTTTATAACATTGTATTTCACGATTCATCACACTTAACACTAGAACTACTGAGCACTTATTGGGGTTGATATGTAAATCTTATACAGATTGTAACAATACATTTTTTTTTATTTCTTCACACACTGGTTACAGTATTTAACCCGTTAAGTGTAGAATTTAGTTTAAAAAACCTTTTATTGTGCACGCAATAAGATTAAATAATAAAGTATATACTCGTCAGATGCAGGCCAAATGCACTTATAATATATTCTAACGATGAACTAAAGCGAAACGGAGAAGAATTACATGTTTATCTAAAAAAATAAATAATCCATCGTTGAAAAAGTTAACACCATTTAGAGTTTTAAGGTGACGTGTATACCCGTCAAACATAACTAACTGGTTAAGTGAAATTATTTATTTTTAGAATTATTTCGGATATTGCATACTTTTAAAATATCAATAATTGCAAAATAGGAGAACTGAAACCTGTCATTTTTACGGATACGGTGGTTCTAGTGTTAAATACGTTTCGTGTGTCGTTTACTGTTTGTATTATGCTGTTCTTTCTCGTGTCTGTTGTTCGATCATGTTCTTAATTGTTTTCTTTTTGCGGAATTTTACCTTTTTATATTCTTGTATTCAAATCTGTCGAGATTTTGTTAAACGTATTTTTATTTGAGTAGTAATTATAGTTTTGTCTATTCGATGATAAAAAGTTTTTGAGTGCGTTTGGTAAGGTCTTTTTGCTAGTGTAGTAAAAGTTTGTTACTAAATATCTGTGCTATTGTTGCATGTGGTGGATGCCAACGTGTAACGTAATTTCTCGGTAGGAAGTTGCCCTTTTGGTGAACCTAGCGTACATGTTACGTTGTTCGCAACTTCAAGTTTTTGACATACATGATGTATGATCATCATAGAATAATTTAGTTGTTCACAAGAATTTTGTTTCCTATTCAGTTTTTTTTGGAACCAAATATAGCTTTTAAATGCAGTTGTGCCACATTGATTCTAACGGGAAATTATTATATAACATTTTATATTTTCTCTTCTTAACCCTTGTCCGGTAATATGGACCGAAGGACCTGTATTATTTCTTCGTAACTTCACCGCGGTTTAAAAGTTTTATCGTAAAAATCTGAAAAAGATATTTGTTATAGTTTCTACTTTAACACTAACCGTACCGACACTGTTCCTACTAGTTAAATAACTGGCTACAAGATTTAAATAAACAAATTAAATGATACATTTTTTTTAGTGGAAGCAGAAACAAAAGGAAGGGTGAAAATTGAAAAATCAATCGGACAATGTAGGAATTGATATTAAAATTACATATACGAAAAATAACCTAGAATTTTAAATCATTCGACCGGTACTCGATACGGTTAGTGTTAATAAACCGAAAATCTTTCTAGACAAATATGAATAATAAACAATGACAGACACGTAATTATATTCGATTGTAATGACGTATGTATTCACAGATTTTTTCAAAGTTTTAACTAAGCGTATATAAACAATTTTTATTATTTATTGTTTGTGAAAGGGGGTGTAGCCCTTCTCATGTTAGATCATCCAATCTGTTTAGAATACGGGTGCGAGGGTTTGGAGAGCAACAAGACCCCTTATTGCTTGCTTGCGAAAAGCGTTCTTCAGAATGTCGTACCTACTTTCAGCTCGTATAGGATGTTAAAGTACCGGCACTTCATTTCGTTCGATAACTTTGTAAACGTGTGGTCTTTACTCTTTACGGTGAACGGAAACGACTCTTTACTTTCGTAATGAACACCTCAACACTTCTTACGTTAACAGTTGCTGATTTCATTTTACATATTCCGGTTCTATACAACGATATAATATTTAAACGTTTCCGCAAATTTTCCATCATTAGTTTATAGCGAAAACATCTAAGTATAGTCGATTATTACTTATCACCAGAAGATCTTAAGTAGCAATTATTAAATTGTCAACAAAATATCTAATGATCATCAATAGTTCGTACACAAAAAATTAAACTAAAATAAGGAAAAATTTGCACAGCACCCAAAGAATATTTCTAAAATGAAATGAAAATATCAAAAGCAAATTCGAACAAAAAGAAACTAAATAAAAATACTGAAATTCCTGTTAATATCCTCTATACGCACAAACAACGAACAACATACGATTATTCTCGCATTGTCGCTTTATCATTCTATCATTCCGTTATCCGATAATCGTGTTCCTTGTCCGGTTCGTATAATCAAGGTTACCCAGTAACGAGTAAATAACCCGAGATGGAGAAAGTAGGTAGAGAGGGAGGCAGAGAGTTTTCTTACCAACCCCGAAATCGAAACGGGGCGGCAAGTGGAGCGTGCGAGTCATTCTGAAGGGTGGTTCACGGATGGCGCCACTGTAAAGGTAGCCACTTCCGCTGCAAGGCGAGGCGAAACGAAGTACGGTGTGGCGAGGGCTGCAAATCCACCCCCGTAAAGCGGTTCGCCACCAAGGGGTTTGGAAAGTCGCCATTTCTGCCTAACTCCGCAATCACTATATCCACGCTTTAATGCCAATGAAATGTCAAGGCACGTCGCGGCTTATAGATTTGCCGGCGTTGTCGCGCTGTTCGGTGTCTTCGTAAGCTCGTGCATCGTCACGTTGTCGCGGGTCCTCGCGGTCTCGTTGCTCGCGCTCGTACTCGGGCTCCTGTTTGCGCTCGTGCTCGTGCTAGTAACCGTGCTCGTGTTTGTGCTCGTGCCGTGCTCGTGCTCGCGCCCGTGCCCGTGCCCGTGCTCGTGCCCGTGTCCATACCCATACTCGTGTTCGTTTCCCTGTCCGTGCCCGTGCCTGTGCTCTTGTTCTTATTCGTGTTCGTGTTCTTGCTCGTGATCGGTGCTCCTGGAAACCTACGTGGCCATACATAACTCGACTAATCTCGATCCCGCCGATCAACTTTTGAACAACACTCGATAAACGAGCCAACGAAAAACGGGGTCAAGGAAAAGGAGGCTGACATCTACTGTTTTCCCTGAATCTGTCGCTTCCTTGACGATTCTTTGACCTTGGCATACTAGCCGACACTTTGCCAACGAAAGTAACCACCAGGCGAACCAGGTAGCCACGAGTACGACCGCCCAAATTCTGGCTGAACAGAGAGAGCCCTTAATCAAAGTCTTATATGCTACGAACGACGGTCAGGTAAAAGAAATCGTTCGTCGGAGACCACCGCCGAATCGTTTCGCGATGAGCGAGCAGGATGTGGATGACGTTGCCTTTCTGACAGGTGAGGTGTCACCGAAGATCAAGTTCGTTCTTCAAACTTTTGCATCCCTCTGCTCGCTTTTGTCCTATATAATCTTCTTTTAGCGCTTTTTCTTCGTCCTTCCCGTTTCGCTTTCGTCCTGCTGCCCCTTTCTGCGTTGTTTTCTTTATTCTGTCAATCCCTTTCCCCTTTATTTCTTTCTACCATCCGATTTTCATGTCTTTCCCTCTTTTTTTACCCACGTGATTCTTTCCTTTCCCATTGAAATCATTCGACTAGATGGCCCACTTACGTCTCTCTGGGCTGCGAATAGACTATACGAGAAGCACGTGCGTGCGATCAATAAGAGAGGAGCTTCTGATCTTTCAAATTCAAGCATGCTAGCCCGCCTATTCTCGTATATGCGTGTGCGTGATATTATTGTTGATGTATTGACCTACTAGAATCGTAGTATCGATGAAACGAAAAAGTATAAACAATGTATACGATTATCAATTGCGTCCTATTATAGGACAGCATAATAACAAAATACGATGCACCGTTACTCATCGTATCATCGGTTTTTATCAATTATTTAATGCCAAATATAAAACGACTCTCCACCTTTAACATCTGAGACACCTCGTCGCCAAATTTAATTTGTACTTACTCGAAAATTTCTTTCGTTTCGATCCGAGCAACTCGAATGGAACGGTCCTATGTGATTCTTTACAATTTATTGTAATTAATGATTGTCTTTTACTGTATATTCAGTTATACAAAATGCACAAGAATGGTGAATGTTTTCGAGCAACTGCATTAACGTTACAGTGGCCTGACACCGGCCAGTCAAAAATCTGTGTCAAGTGTGTGTAGCGGAGGTCATGAAACTCAACGCGTTTCTTGTGTCGGTGGACACAAGATTCTTATGTTTCGCAACACGGTTTTTCTCTTCACGCTGTATTTATTTTTTCTAAGGAAGGTTTTTGGTAGTCGTCAGATATTTTGACTATGCTATATTTACATACTATGTTAATCAATCTTACTAAGAGGAGAGTGCGTATTTTAATATCTGTTTAATTGCGTAAAGAATATGTGTACACCTGATGCACATTGATCGTTCTTCAGGAGACCCTTTGTTCCAGGAGATAGCAACACGGGATTGCACAAACGTAGCATTTATGAACACAATGGAGTTGTGTGTTCTCAGAAAAGGGCTCTTTGCATAGCTACCGTCGTTTTTGCGATACTTTTCGCCATATCATTCATCATTGCCTTCGCGGGACCACAAAATGGTATTACTCACCAGTTTATCGCTAATTGTACACATTACTAGTAACATAATTGTTTACAAAGAATTGTCGATTACACAAAGCAAATAATAGGCTCACTGGAGTCTACTAATCAATCTTTGCGATCGGCCTCTCGTGAAAGTCGCTCTTTCTTTTTAATATTATCCTCGTGTTTAATTTTTCCAGACTGCCCTTGTGCTGGAGAAAAGCCAGCTAACCTGGAAATCGAGGACGATGAAAAAAGCAGTGAGCCTCTTGCAACTAATGGAGAGGTACGGTCATTTATGTTTGTTTTGCTGGCTGTATGATTATAATCCGAAAGTAGAGCAAAACATATATGTATGTATATACGTACTATATATACTTCGTAACACATACTTGAGATACAACATATGGGTAATTGAAATCTCGCCTCAACGTATACAATTTCAGCTGGTATAATGTGGATAATCGGAAATAACTTATCCAATCGACATGCTTTTCGCTAATAGTTGATACTAATTTAATGAGAAAACATTGAAATTCCCACATTTCCTTGTGCAGCTATTTAATACTTCGAAACCACGAGGAATTCATTGTAACATTTTATTTATACAAGCACGAATAAAATTTTCATAGAAACAAATGCTGATATACACAAGTATATAGAATGAATACAACACAATTCAAATAAGCACATGTTACGTGTGCACATGTATGACGCTTGTTGTATTCGAGCTTGAGAGTCTTCATCCAAAGCTAAACGTGAATGTAAAACGTCTTGGCGGGAAATCAATCGAAAGACGTGACCATAATCCGCAGCGTAAACCTAACTGCTGACTAGTTATAGTTTATTCTTAGTTGCGTGTAATGCACACTCTCGGAGAAAAGGATATAGAACATTGTAATATCTCACTCAATTTCTGAGGCAAGAATAATTCAAGCTAATCAATTATTATAGGTGTTCCCCTGGAATAACGTGAGGTTACCTAAGTTTGCCCATCCTACTAGGTACAACATTACCATCCATCCAAACCTTACCACATTAGAAGTAAAAGGTACGTTTGTCTATACACTATCTATTATGGTGAAATAAAATCTCGCTTTGTACGAATATCCTTTTATATAAAAAATTTGGTGTATATTTCTCTTGCATCAAGTAAGAAATTAACTCTCTGAGAAGAAAAGCAATTTCTTTCTATTTTTAAGTTCAAAAACGCTAATAAGTAGAGGCAGGATAAAACTAATACATATTCGTTTTCATTTTTAGGACAGGTCACAATCGAATTCTATGTCGATAAAGAGACCAACTACATTGTCTTCCATAGTAAAAATTTGACAATAAATGAAAAGGTAAATTATTCTTGTGGTAATACTTTACATACAACTTAACATGCAAGTGTAATTGCATATACGATAATTTTCGATCTTCTATTTACAGATGGTTCAAGACCGTAAAGGCCATAGATTAAAAATCGCAAAACTTTTGGAGTATCCGAAACACCAGCAGTTATATCTAGAACTGGAAAGTAAATTTCGGAAAAGGGGGAACTATACGGTGCACTTAAGGTTCATTTCAAAACTCACGAGTGAACTCGAAGGATTCTATCTTAGCAGCTACATCACCCCAGAAGGAGAAAAGAGGTCATTCTGAAGTTATAATAATTCTCTATTTGCAAAATAACGGAAAATTTATTCTCGAATATGACTGTAACTGAAGTTTTCCCACCGCAGGTATTTGGCCACTACTCACTTTGAACCGACATACGCGCGTTCAGCGTTTCCGTGCTTTGATGAACCGCAATTCAAGGCCAAATTTAAAGTCTCGATATTCAGAGACAGATTTCATATTGCGTTGTGCAATATGCCCGTGATGAACACAGAAGATGCAGGATTTTATATGGGAACGGGACTTGTGAGTATATAACTTATACAGACTATCTTGAAAATACGTACCTACGGCGTATTCAATTACGAATAATATATACAGCGCGTCTACAAATTTCTACCGTTACAAATAACTGTCAAAACATAGAGGATATAAAAAAATGGAACACCATATTTTTTGCTGCTCAATGACAGTATAGAGAAATACAAATTCAAATTCCTTTTTTTGCGTAATCTAAAATTAATCTAAAATCGTAATAGAAAAGTTGATAAAAATTATTTTATTCACACAATGTATTTAAAGGCACTGCGTACTAAATGAAACCAACAATTCTTTGAAAGACATGACTTTAAAATTGAGATTGTTTACCAGGTTCAGTGCCACGTGTACCGCATATAGTACATGGTAATTTTTGTAAGAAAATATTTTTAAGAGACATGTGCTCATGAATGATACACGTTACAAAGCAGCAGAAACGTAAAAAGATAATATCAAAATATATCAAAGTCGATAAAAACTTAAATAGAAGTTAATATTTTATGTAAAAAATTAATACATTTTATGAGCAGAATATAACTGAAATTTACGTTAGCATGGAACGTATTAATTGATAGTTATTCTCAACGACAGAAATCTGTAAACACCCTATACTTCAAATACTGATTGTAGAAGTCAAAAAACGAAAATTAGAAGTGATGTACCTGTGAATTCGACTTTGATTTTACATTACTTAAAAAATTTCTCAAAATTACGACAATGCACCAATGATGAAGTGCGTGAATTGAATAAGTGCAGAAAATCTTGTACTGTGCGAGATTTGGTTCATAACCACGCTATTGACAGATTTTAAATATTAATTATATGAAAATTGAACTGAAAGCGCAATATTTATTACTTATGATTGTCAATTTATTTAACTTCGTTAAATCATTGATTGAAGTATCTAATACAAGTAGTCCAGCACTGTGCACACCATATATTGTATATATACACAGCATACTGGCAAAAAATAACCATACATTATCAGCTTATTTTAGATATGTTGACAAAAATTTAACAATCGCATTATAATTAAAATGCATACATAATTATTTATATTTACTTTGTTACACAACAAATATGTAATTTCATTATAGAAAATTTCCTGATTAAAGGAAATATAAAATATTTCTTATAAAATTTCTCCTCAGAATAGTACCATCACTGTTCCTCAAAGTAAGACACAGTTGCTGAATATTTTAATACATACAATTATTTAATTTTATAATTTTAGATAGTTGTAATTGCCTATCAAAATTACAAACAAAACTGATTTATGTACCCTGTACAGTATTTCTGCATTTTTATGAAGTTTTATATACAATGAATTATTTACACAGTATTAAATAATATAAAGATTTTTAATATTTTGGCTACTATTGGCGCTTAAAGGAGCTGTTAATATTTGTTTCTCACGTACTATTGACCCTTAATAGGCACCTAACTTATTTGTAATACGGTCTGCTGAAACAAAAGTTACTGGTAAACGTTTAATATGTGCATTGACAATTCAGTACAAGTCACGAATAAATAAAGAAATAATATTCCTTTAATGTAGAGCAATTCAACATTTTCATTATTTCGTGGTTTTGTATTAGTCGCATTTGAACAACTACCGTGTATCACACGCAGCACGTGTAAAACTCTGTGAAAGAATTAAAGAAGAAGTTAACAAAAATAATTATTGTAAGAAGTTGAAACTTAAACTTGATAAAATTTGTATTACCAAGGTATAAGATACTACCTTTCTGTTGTCGTATCATCATTACGTCAGTTACGATACCGTGTGTCTACATCAAAATGACATTGATATTATCGTCCAATAACCTCCGGCTTTTTACACGTACGATGTCTACAAAAATCTATTTCCGATTACTCTCAGATTTAACAATGTCAATATTTAATGCATGAGTCTAGATATAGATATAAAAGTATCGAAGTGCCCTGTAAAATTTAAATACAAATGATAGTCCACATTTTATTCCACACATAGGAAATCTCTTTAAGCTGTTCAGTACAACTGACAACATGATGCATTATAAATCAGAACATTATAAGACATTTATTTTTTCCCCTAATTATACAAAATATTATAGTACACGTTGCAGTTCTTTATCTTCACTAAATCTCAGAAAGATACAGTATCTTTCTCGAAGATAGTTTGATAATCGTTCAGCAATTTATTTATAAAAAATGATGTCTAAATTGTAGATGTCTATCTACATGTTTTGCTTACATAGAGTTCACTGTTTTGAGTTCCACATATTGTTATACTTAGGAAAGTGTTCTAAATCCTGTCAAATCATGAGTGTATAAATCAATTTATGTAAATACGTAAACCATTGTATTTACTTTCTCAACAGTTTCATATTAACAAGTCATGCGTTTTCATGCAATTAATGTTGAAATTCTTTAAAACCGTGAATGATTGAGCAAAGCTTTTCATAATTCCGCGGGAAGTTTCAAAGAATAACTACTATAGGCATAGAAAGTAAATAGGTGTGTATTAGACGGCACTAACGGTATCGATTTCGTGTATCTACGACATTGACAAGTCGAGAAAGTCAGTAATGGCTATATGGCGGAGAAACATAGCCTGCACATTTTCATTGAATATTTTCCTGAGTTATAATTAATTTCTTTGCAAATTTAAAAGATATTGATCTCTTTTTGTGAGTAGTTTCTCATCAATGTCTATATAATGTCATACTGTTTGGACAACTTATTGGATATAAAAATCTTTGCCTCAAAATGTGAAAATAATATATAAACAGTAGATACCCAAATCAATTCTTTCTTAAACTATGATAGTTGGTTATAACTATTCAAAACCACAGATATTTATAGCTGTGTACACCGACATATTTAAGACACTTTGACCCCTTTTCCAAAATTAAATTCAAATTTCCATATATTTTAGTTTCTACGTAACATTTCATTTTGTTATCCGTTTTTACAAAAACTTGTTTCTCAAAGATTGTGAATAGCAGCTGTTCTATTTGCGGATTTATATTTTGGCCAAGGAACTTTGGAAGAATTACGCACATGGAATAATTTCCAAGACGGAAATTAAAAGAATTATAAAACTTCAAAGAAAAATTTTCTTGCGAAAATTCATTCTAAAGGGATGAAATTAACCTCTACAAATTCTGTCATTTTTTTATTCTATTGTGTAAATTGTAAATTGTAAGCAATAGAAAAAGAGTTTTGAGATAACAGTTACTTCTTTTAATCAGATCTATCAAATGGTAAAAAATGTACTAATTGTTTATAACATTTCAAGATTGCTATAAACAGAAATTTTAATAATCTTTTCTAAAATTAATTTTTCTACCTGAAGTCTTAATCGATTGTTTGAGTAATTATAGAACATCCTAATTCTAATTTTTTAAATTGCAAACATAACAAATATATGTATATAATTAGACAATTATAATTAATATGCATTAAAGCATTTTATTGACATTGAAGTGGATATATTGATCAGAAACTAAATAAATTTAAAAATTCAATAAATTTTGATTTTTACAAAATTTGATGCATACTCCTCATTGTTCTATATGTGTGAATCGTGTTTTCATTATAAAACGATTTAATTATCTTTTTTTAAATATACATTAAACATCGGCATAAATATATAAGAGTAAATGTCAGAGTTATGTTTCATATAAGAAATTATAGTAAGGGTAAATTACATTTAATAGTTCTTTCTATTTTTGTATATCCAATTAGTCTATTCATAAGCGTGTATGTTATGAATTATCTTCTTTTTGTGTATTGCACATTATTTCTTTAATAAACTGGGGATCATCAAATGTTATATTCGCAATGAAAAACATAATTAATGTGTTTTGTAATTATTTAACTTATTGTTTAAGATTTTAAGTAGAAAAATGACTTTTAAAAGATAATTAATTTTTTCATTTATAACATTTTTCAAATGTTAACTCTTTCTCTATCTCCTACAATGTATGAGTTACAAAATAAAATCGAAAAATGGCCAAATTTTTAGAGGTTAATTTCATCCCCATACAATAAATTTTAAGAAAAAAATTGTATAGTACATAAGTACATATACGTACCCTTCATATCTTTAAAGTTTCATTATTTTTTTAAATTTTCGGACTGCAGGTCATTCCTTATCAGTAAATATTACAGATCAAGAAAAAATTTTAATTCTCTGAGTAATGATTGAAAAGTAAGCACTTTCACAAAGATACCAATTCATACATATATGAATTTTGGATGAGTTTCTCAAAAAAGGGATGGCTGTGATTTCTCAAACGTAATATAATTAAGTTCTTATAAGTTGGAGAATTAGACTATGTTCTTGGAAATCAGAGTACAAATAGGTACAGATGCAGCTGTTTCATGGTTAAATTTGAAGATACATCGATGTACAAATTATTGTTGCTAACACGTATCCTATTTTACCTTGTTAAAACTAAGAAATAATTTTTGTAGATTTTTATGTGTTATACATGAATGCAATAATTGTTTCTATCTATCACGCCATACCTTTTAAAAAATTCAATTTATAGGGTCAAATTTTCAAATTCAAATTTCCGTTAAAAATTATTAAATTGAAAACTATTTGTTGTTAATTAATAAACCTATAATGTTATAAAGTTACATACCATTTTATTTTGGGGAGTTTAAAATAATTTAGGAGAGACTATAAAATAATTTTTAAAGCAACAAATTTTATTCATTTTTATTTCAAAATTGAGTTTTTTTAAAAATTATCTGTAAGAGTGAAGAACAGTTTTAGATTTCTACTGAGTGAGTGTATCAAACTGTAAAAATAGCTTCTTGAATTTTAAGTTACAAAAAAATTTTTTGGTTGGAGTCATTAAATAAACAAAATCTTTTTCAAATTAATATTTTATTTTCATTTTGTCGGCACAAAATATTTTCGTCTGTTTCTAATCAATGTCGTTATTATAATTTTAAACATAGGTTTACAATTAAGTTACATGTTTTTTAATTGTCACATTATTTAGTCCTATTTTATTGTTATTTATTATTTTTAAATCTTTATTCTTACTTTATAAAAAATATTTTTATTTCTTTATCCTATTATTTTATACTAAATCTATATACTTTTAGTCACAGATACTTCATATTTTCACGGAAAGCTACAAAATACGTACGGTGATTGTTTCGAGTCGTATAATTTAAATTTCGTTAAACACTACAGTGAATTCGTAGTATTAATCTATTGCCACACAGTTTTTCTTTAATATCATCATCGAAAACACATTTAAATTTCAAACAATTTCTTTAAAATGTTCCTTTGATGCTACAAAAAATGAAATAAAAACGCACTACATACTTTTAAGAAGTATTGAACGCGATGTTTGCTAGTTATTTTATTTTCGACAACTATAGCTGTCATTTGCGTCACTGAGTTAAGAACTATTCTTTATAGTAAAAATCAAATTAAAAAAATAATTTTTTTACTCTTTTGTTTGTGTCCAAGTGAAGCGTAAAACAGGATTAATTAAATATGCATGATTAGCCTGTATCCACACCATTATTTTTTTGCTTTTTCTACTTTAGATGAACTCGAGTAGAAGTACAATTATTAACTGTTTAGATACGGGAGGGTTGTACAAAAGCGGGTACCATTGTTTTTTGTAAGGTACAACTTGCAAAATATACCCAAAACGTTTCGTCACATTGTGGTCGTCCTCATGACGTTATCAAATGAGTTTCAGAACAGAGACCATAATAGTGTTCTGTGCAGATACAGTTATCAAGCTGAAAAGTTCTAGCATTTCCACGGTGAAGAAGTGCTTTTATTAGGATTATTTTATAACAATGCCGACAATATTCCTAACAGTTCTATCGCTGTACTTTATACGTTTGCATTTAAAAATTCATCCAGAAAAATACTATTTGTATTTTGTAGTCTTTACAAAGTATTTTGCTGCTTTAGTCACCTTTCTATTATATACTCAAATAGAAATACTTAATGTTTATTAAATCAACTTATTTTGAGTCAAAATCGAGTATTTGCCTAAGGGGTACGTGTGCCGAGTGTACACGTACGGAGTAAACTTTCGACCTCGATTTTCTCGAAAACGAAGACTCGCAGGAAAAAATTTTATTCTTTTTTTTCAGCTCATTTTTATATGTAGAATGACCTCCTAATTCATTGACCATGAGTCGCGGGACACCCTGTATATGTAAATCAATTTAATCAGTAATAGCGTTAACTCCGGGTGGTAAAATCGATTTTCATAAGGTTGAGAAATGTTGTAGAAATGCATATTTTAAATAACATTTTCCAGTGACAAAAATGTTTCTCTGTTTTGGTTTGCTCAGGTAATCACAAAGAATTTTCGTTACTACTACATTTAATTGTATATACAGTAATACTCGCTTAAATTCCACAATCTCCGGTTCCACCAGTGGAATTTAACCGAGTAGAATAAACAGGCCGAAGTTATTTGCTTCCAGGAACTGACTCGAGCACAGCCTAACAAAGGTAAAGAATCGTTATGGTGAGCGGAAGCGGGATAGACACAGTCTATCAAGGATCGGAGACGCGGAACTTCAAAGCGATGCCGCACACGTCAAATACAGACATGCGGTAAAGAAAATTTCAGTTGCCGTAATTTTAACCTTATCTTCTCAAATGTAGTGTCAGTGAATTTTTGAGATTGTTGTAATTAAAATGAATTCAAACACGATGGAAATCGGACTAATTTTACCGACTTAATGTAATTAACGAAATTAAAAGTTCATTTGCCCCAAATCGATAAAACTAGACCGATTTATGTTGTGTTTGGACTTATTTTAATGAGAAGAATCTCAACATTCCATCGTTACTATGTTTGAGAAGGTATGGTTAAAATTATTGCAATTAACATTTTTTTCATTGCATGTTTATACATCTCTTTGACCTGTGTCTATCTCTCTTTCTCTCATTGTATTCACGTTCTATCCCTGATTACTGGGATCACATTATACTGAGCTGGAGACAGTGAGTAATATGGAAAAAGGAATTTAGGCCGAGCAGATTTCAATGTGCGTATCTGTAAATCGGCCACAAACATACCATTTCAGTTCGACTTTCTTTGGTTTCATATTCAGTTCGTCTATTATGGAGTTACCACTCCATTAATAGTTTCATGTGTACAGTGAACATTGGATAATTGCAACATCAGGGTTCTCTTCATAATTGCAACATTGTCATCTCCACCATATACTCACCAAGTTTTTTTTAACACACCACAGCGCTCGATAACCGACCACGGTCGAAAGATGTAACATGATCCGAAATTATGATCGTAATTCTATTATGTTTGGTGTCATTTTAATCAGAAAAGTATAACAAATGTGATAGTGAAATGAGAATTGTTCAAAGTTTCCGGGTGTAAGCCGTGTTCCTTAGCAATTCTTTCCCGACGTTTCGCTAACATTGCAGCTGGCATTATCAGGGGATTCATCGACTCACTGATACTGTTTAGCCAGAATCAGTGCTTCCTATTTAAATATATCTTGCTCGGAGTTACAGATGGATGATCACCCATTCGGTGTTTTTAATTCGTTAAATGATCAATTAAAAAATGGAGGAAGGTGGTTCAAATTGGGGTAAGTTGGTAACCAGAGTCTCTGTTGTAATTGCTGGGGTGTTTCGAGATTTCCAGCGATTCTCTGTACTTCCTCTTGTAGAATCCTGCGCTGTTTGCTATTATTTTAGTTTTGTTAAGTAGGATTTTGTGTCCCTTGGTTATTTACTGTTCGGCCACGGCTGATTGTAAGTACCCCAAGCTGGAGCGTGTCTCATGTTCTTTGTGTCGCATGTTCACGCTCCTATCAGGTTCATTAGTAGGAAGGAAAAATTATTCCTCGGAGGAAAATAAGTAAATAGTATTCCTAAACTTGAAAGCTTTAAACAAGTTACTGGAAATGGGTGATTAAATAATGAAACAGTATATATTTTACGGTGCGACTTTATTCTAACGACTTTGAAAAACACGTCTAGCTCTTTCAAGTTTTCGAATGCGAATGACTAGGAACACTCAAAAGTAAGTTGGGGTCCGTCTTTCTTTACAAGATCGTTTAAGGCCTTGCCTGGAGAAAAGTCTCCTGACTTCGTGCGACAAAATCCAGACGCATTTGGTTGCCTTTCTATCGCCTTTGTTTAGACCAAAGATATATGAATGTTGGGCATTTTTGCTTTTGCTAGTTTAGCATTAGTAATAATTCAATACAAATCGTATGATAGTGAAGTTTTATTCATTAAAAGTCAAAAATAAAAAAGTCTGATTTCTAAGTTACAAGTCTCAAGCTCACCGCGAGCCTTTAATGTTGCCGAACGCTTCGACTCTGTCTTCCTTATCCTTCACTCGCATTGTTTTTTTACGTCCGTTGTACTAAAATCTTCGTTTTTGGAGTAGATTCGATTCTACCTCTGGTAGAATCGCTACCTTTCGGTCCCGTTGAGTGTTGCAGTTATCCATTGTTTACTGTTTCTTGTTTATAAGGGCCTATACACACGAGTGACGCTGTGCAATTTTGGAAGGACAAAGACGTAAAGTTCTCTTATCCTTTCTTGTGAGACAGAAGAACCTTATTTTCCTGTTACTCCAAAACAATCGCCGCGGCAAAGCAGCGGGATCGCGTCGCTCGTGTGCATTAATAGAGAACATCAAATGTAAAGATTACAGGAATGAGTTTTCTCGAGAATATTATTCGAGGTTGTTGTGCTAAGCATTCAATGAAATCTTTATCATAAATTCTACAGAAACAACAATAATAATACGGTGTCGCATGAAAATCTCTAATTAATTAACAAGTTAACTGTGGAATTTTGGTAAAGCAAAACGAAGAAGAATTACATGTATATCTGAAAAAGTAACTAATTCATCGTTGAAGAGGTTAGTATTATTTCAAGTTTTAATATGACGTGTATACCCGTTAGATACAGTTAACTGGTTAATATATTTGATTCGGTTACTTGCTAAATTCATATTGCCCTTCTATCGTGAACACCTCCTGTAACAATGCTTGCAGAAACATTTCGCCTGTCTTTTTTCTGTGTTAACGCCTGAAATCTTCATATAATTTTAACTATTCTGCTCAGCTTATCGACGAGTTAGCGACCTTCTCACAATAAATATTCAACTCGTTTTCATACTTGTCGTGCGTTCACACACATATACAGGGTATCCACGCAACTGGGACAAGCTATACCTTCCCAATGGTTAGAGACAGAAAAAATGGTGTGGTATTAATGGAAATAATTATATTTTATTTAAAGAAAGCATAGGAATAGTTAATCGAATAAGATACAAGTAAATAGAAACGATATAGCTCGCAGTGTACAGGTCTCTTCTCTTCCACAGCCAACGCAACTCTCTCCAAAATCTCTCGCCATCCGCACTTAAAAATCATTCTCTCCCTCACAAGCATTCTTTTCACTCGCACTTCCAACAAATTCTCAACCACACCCTACTCTAACCACCACGCACTCATCATTCTCGCTTACGCATCGCTCGGGAAAACTCGCCAATCTTTGGGCCTGGTCTCCATCAATCCCTTTCTCTTTTATGGCCCTCTTCCTGTCTTTCAGAATACTCGCTGTCCCACTGCCTACGATACTACAATGGTACAAGATAGAATTAAATGACAATCAATGAACTATAATTTAAAAATCATATTATTATGAATTTTCATAGAGTAATTTATGCAGAAGATGCAACTGCACCTTTTTTATGGGAAAGTCTACAGTTTTGAGTGCTCCAGTCGATGCGGTTTTTAAAAGTCTATAATGTATGAAAATCTATAAGAAATTGTTTTTTTTCCAGTTTCGGAATGTATCCTTGTACCTGTAAAATAGTAAACATTCATAATTAATCATTTTTTAAAATATTGTAAAATTAGTCGATCTTGCTGCTACAATAGAAAAGTCCCTTCTTAAATAACACGTACGAAATTTGAACTTCCAAGGTGACAAGGGGTTTTTCACTTTTTTGAAAATTGTCTGTAAGCCTACTATTTCTGAATGCTATTAATTGTACCGAATTGTTTTCCGTGGAAAAAAATATCCACCGAAAAAAGAATTTTACTGATTAAAAAATGTGCACACAATACAACATATAATAAAGCCTTTAATATTTTAAGTGACGTATGTGAATAACAAATCGTATACAAACTAACAAGGACAAATTGAACCCATACACGTCGACCTTTATGCAGTTTACATGACAGATAATTCCCGGAAAAATATTTAACATGTATTTTTTGAACCTTCACAACTAATGATTGAAAACACAAGCCTTGATATATATCCGGAGTTCAAAAGAGGGAAAAGAGAAGTTCTCTTTAAACAGTTTGTTTTGAAACAGGATTTCATTCACGTAAGACATCAAATGCAAAAGCCATTTACATAAATAATATATTAAAAATTTGAAGTACTTTTAGTTATTTTTTTTTGGTTAAAAATATATGTTGAAGTTTCCTATTTTTTCAGAGCTTCTTATTTAATAAGACATGTTCGATATTTTAATAATCGAAATATCTCGTAACGTACTTGTATTTCCAATACATTAGAATAATACTTTAGTACACATATAATACAGAAAATTCGTTTTGTTGAAAAAATAGTAGAGCAAATATGCGTTTCTATTAAAAGGAACGTTCATTAGGATATTTCAAGGACATTGTTACACTTATTAAAAAAGTGAAGCCGTAGGGAAATAAAGCTTCCTATACCAATTCACTTTTTTTCTGGAGCTTCAAATGTAACCTGGCCCAGTTGCGTCACTCACTCTGTATTCCTTATAGCGCACTGCAGCGATGATTAGTAACGCGTCAGACCTTATCTGCAGTATCTTTTCTGGCTGTAAACAGGACTGCTGAGAATATAAAAAAAGTTTATGATATTTTGTGGGAAACGTGTCAGAATACATTTTCTGGCACGAAATGGAAAAATATATCAAATAATCACTCCTATTTTTGTTTATACTCCACATATACGAGTTCACATAAAAATCGATTAATATTTACAAAATAAACAACGACTACTATACGTTTTGATATCTTTTCTAATTATGTAATTGATTTCTCGTTCTAATTTTTTAACGGATTGAATTTGCTGTTATAAACCTCATAACTTACGGGAACGTCCTTACTTATATGCTCTGGCTTTTAACATAGGTATTCTAAGAAATTCACCATGAATGATCATAACTTACAGAAATACATATTTAATATATTTATAACATTACGTGTTAAATACTATCTTCGATGTCTGATCACATTATAGATCTTTCTATAATTAAATATAATCCATTCTTTATCTGAGACTCTACTTAAAAGTACTTCGAATATACGTACACGGTATATCTAGTAACTGAAATAAGCTATAACTGTTACTAATAAAATTGCAATCGAAAAAAGTCGTAAAGGAAAAGTTTGACTTGACCGGCTCCTCTACCATATTATGGTACAGGTTTTATCATAATTGCGTTGATACAATTGCAAAGTTTTACAATCGCAGTTTTTTTAAACGAAACTCTATATGTTTTTTATATATAGCTTTCTGCGTAGTTTTGCGTAAAAAAAGTATAGGAGTTTATCATTAAAAACTCTACTTACTGAAATATTTTATTCTGAAGTTTAAGTGGTACATCTGACCTTCAATTTACGCGAAAAATTATAACAGTATTTATGCAGTAGTTTTTATGCGTGATCTGAATTTAGTAACAACAAATAAAATGTACTTTTGTTTTTTGAAGTGTCATTACTTTTCGCGTATATCGAGGATCAGTGCACTTCTTTCCATATCTATATAGTACATATAATGCAATTCTAAGTCTTCAACAGTTCCGTTTTCTGGATTTTGTATTCCTTTAAATATCATCTGTATCATTACTCCATACGGAAAATTCTACACCCAGAGAATCATTCAAGAGGGATACAATTTTGTCGATTTTGCTTATATTTGAACGAAAGAGAAGCAAATTTTTCCCGAACAGTATTATGAACAGACGAATGAATTTTTAGACAGAGTTTGAAAAGATTTTGAAAATAATTGCTCGAAAGTGTTAGATATTGGTTCCGACTAAAGCAATTATGACGAATCAAAATAAAGTCACAACTGTTATTAGGATATTATATCAGTTCTGTATTGGTTTTGAAGAACTAGAACCGAAACCGACATAACTCAGAACCGATATACCTAATACTCTAGAACCTAATACAGTGAACATTTGATAATTGCAACTATTACGGAGACTCGAATATGACAATTATGAAGAGGTAGAATCGATTCGAGTCCAAGAAACGAAGATTTTAGCATTGCGGGATAAAAAGGGACAATCCAAGTGAAGGAAAAAGAAAGGTTGAGAGTCGGAGCGTTCAGCAACATTAAAGGGTCGCGACGAGCTTAAGACCTTCAACTTAAAAATGAAACTTTTTTATTTTTGATTTTTAATGAATGAAACTTTTACCATGCTTGTTGTGTTTTTCTGATTACAATGGCACCAAACGCGATAGAATCACCATAATAAGCGATTGAAGTTTCGGATATAGAAAAGGTTTGACAAAAGTTTGACAATAGTCATAACATGTTACACCATTCAAACGCGGTCGGTTGTCAAGTGCTATGGTGTGTTAACACGTTGACCGTGTCACGGTGTGAGTCTCCGGAATTTAAAATAAAAAATGTATCTCTTGCTGATGTTATTTAAGCATCAGGTATTAAAGTATTATTTTCAAGTTAGAATTCTGAGACAAGAAACCGTTTAGTGTTCAGAGAGTTTAAGTATTATGTTGTCACTTTAACTGAATTCGGAGCACAATTGGACAGAGTGACGACAATGGACTGGCGGGAATCACTGACTAACTTTGATTGCAATCGATCGGCTCATATACAGTTTTCATCGTGGTGGGTGTCCAAGTATGCAAGGCGCGAGGCATGCGAGGATGACACCTGAGTTTATCGATTTTAAGATATTGGAGGTATGACATTCTTCCCGCTTTAGAATAAAGTTGGTTTTCCAAATCTTACGCGTTTGGCAGGTGTTATGTTATTTATGTTACTAAATATATACTAATATATACTAATAAAAGTTATATCAATAACTAGGTAATTCTATTGACGTAGCGGCTGATTGAAGTTGTTAGGTGGTCTGATTCGCGGATACCATGGGGTAGCGTATGTTGATTGAGATGTTCTGTAATCCTTTGAGGCAGTTAAGTAGTCCTAATTTGTAGGCAGTGTAGATGGTTACCAGTACCAGTATTGCACATCCCAAAATTTACAGAGTATTGAGTCCTACATGTTTTAATTCACTGTTCATTAGAGAACTTGCTGATTTTTTGGTCCATTTTCTTAAGGTCAATTCGGTATGACGAAAAATCGTTAGTAATAAAAGAAAATCGTGGTATCAAATCATACAAAGTGATTAAATCTTATCGAGTATAGTGTTTTTGAATAAAGTTTCGTACGCATATTCTTTTCGATCGCTGCTGATTTTCATTAATGTTGTTTCCGTGATTAGTAAACAATTTTTGATACTAACTAATAAGTGTGGTTCGTCGATTTTTATAATAGTTTTATTGTCGCGTATAACGGTTATTTCTGTTGATTTTTTCTGGTAAAGTAATGTATCTATTAGTATTGACAAATGGTATATAAATTATACCTAAAATTTTGAGTACAAGTATTCCGCATTTTCTTTGGTTCATTTTTCGAAGGTGTGTATAAGTTCTGTGAAACAGTCAGACTGCATATTTAAATAATGAGTGGGTCGTGTACGTTGACATAGTTTATAATGATCGCATGTTCTGTATTTCGTTTGTAAGTATTCGGAATCCAAGAGTATATATTCTGATTTCGCTTCCAATACAATATCGATTACCGTGTGTTTTAAGAATCTTATCTCTGTCGTGAAACAATATACCGTACGTGGGTGGTTGTGTCTCGAAAAGTTTCGCTGGTGCAAGCCGTTCGGTATCAAGTTTGTTTATTTTATGGTCATTATGCAGTAATACTCTGTCGTCTATTTTCAATATGGTTTGAGATCGAATGATTCTTCTATCCTGGTCGCGTTTATTTCGCGTCATGTTTTTATCAATTATATTACGAGCTTTATTAATATATCCTTCGTGACGTTTCTTTCATGTTTTAAAGAGGTCGCATTGAGATATAGAAGGAGTAATGGAAATTGCGAAAGGCATGTTAATTTTACGTCCAAATGTTAATTCAAAGGGAGTGAATCCTATTGCTTCATCCACAGAAGTGTTATAGCTCATACATACTAGTTTTAAATGTTCGTCCTATTCATTTTTCCTGTCAGAAGTACAAGTCCTAATGAGGTCTTTGATAGTCGCGTGTGTCTTTTCCAGACCACAGTTAGATTGTGGATGAAAAGACGTAGTTTACTTTTACTTTTATGTGTTTTATTTTAAAGATCTTTTCAAATTGTTCCATAAGTTGACAAACGAAGTTAGTGCCTTGGTCGATTAGTATATGTATTTGTGAAGAGAATATATAGCGGTCCATCAGGTTAGGAATTATTGTGAATGTTTGTTGGTCTGAGAGAGGTATAAGATTGAGAAATTTTGTTAAAATATCTTGAATGGATAGGATAAATTGATTGTTATTCTTGGTTTTATGTAAGGGTCCATATATATTATATGTATATCCATAACAATTTTGTCATTAGGTTCAAGAGGCGTATCAGTAATAACTGCTTCTTCTTTCTGCCTGGTTCTGGTAGCTTTTATATTTGGCAAATTTCGTATGACGCTATGAATTCTTTTACATCTTCTGCCAATTCTCTTTCTCTTTGATCTAGGCTAGCGTTCTATTGTCACCAAAGTGGAATGTTGAGTTAACGGAACGTGATTCTTTCAAAATTTCAATTTTGTCTTCCTCTGAGTATTCTCGTGGAAGAGTAATTGCGGTGATCAGTTCTCCGTTGAGGAATCTCGATATGAGGAAGCATAGCATTATTTCTATGCGTAAAATTTCAAACCATGTTACAGAATTATCGTTAACGCCGATCCGTACGTTAGAATTTTTCCGTTTATGATTTCGTTCATTACTATTCGCCGTAGAGCTTGTAACAAATTGGATTTATTGAATGGATTTAATTGTTCTCGTGTGATTTGAAACCATTGGAAGGTGTTCGGTTAGCGAGTGATAGGTGACGGAGTTGGATCTTTCTTCCATTCTTCATATTGGGAAGTTAATTCGGGGTTTGAAGGAGAACTGGTAGCGGCATCTTTAATTTAGGGTAAATATCCTAGGGTATCATTTAATGCGTTCACTGATTCGGGTGCGTAATATATAGTACCTACTTCTGTTCTTCGATTAATTTATCTATGTCGGAAGTGGTTATGGGGAATGTTCGGAAAGTGTGTCGGCTGTTAAATTGTCTTTGCCTTTTGTGTATTCGATTTCATAATCATGTTCTTCTAGTTTCAGTCTCTATCGAATTAATCGAGAAGGATTTTAATATTTTGGAGCCATTTCAAAACTTGGTGGTCTCTCTTAACGGTAAATACTCGTCCTAATAGGTATTATCGTAATCTTTTGATAACCCAAACTATTGCCAAAAGTCCTTTTTTGAGTAATTGTTTGAGTAATGTTGTTGAGTAATCTCGTTCAGTGTTATTGAAAATGCGGGATATGTAGCAGCATGAATGATTGTCTTGGGAAAGATTTTGTTCCTATGGCGCCGTTCGAAATATCGGTTGTAAGGGTAAAGTGTTTCAAGTAGTCAAGGTACTAGAGTACAGATTGTGAGTATTTGTTATGAGTCAGTCCAATGGAAGGGAATATTTTTGTTTCTTAGTTCTGTCAGAGATTTAGCCAATTTTGTAAAGTTTTTAGTGAACTTACGATAGTAACCTGCAAACCTTAAAAATGATTTCACATCAGTTGGGTTTTTCGGAGTTTCGAACATTTTTACAGCTTCTAATTTTTTTAGATTCGGTTTTACTCCATCCTTTGATATAACATGGTTTAGATATTCCAATTCGGGTCACAAATATTCCCATTTATCCGGCTGGAGTTTGAGACTTGTTTCACGTAGCCTTTGACATATAATTGCCAAATTTGTATTGTGCTACTGTACGAAACGGTGTTTGGTAATTTATTCTCTAATCTTCTTGCCCTGATGTGCTGGAGTAGTGTTAAGCAACGTGTTCAGAATCGGAATGGATTAGGTGAATTAGGCTACCCGAATTTTTTCGGTCTAGCCCGAATCTGAAATATCAGGTATACAATTGATTACTCACGTGAGACAAGCCGGCCAGTGACTCAAAAGTGAAGAGGTTCAAGGGGACTAGACTGCACTCTCCACCTCCGCTCGCGGCCCGGCCAGTAAGAAAGACATGCCGAAACTACTTTTAAGTCACATGCCAGCTTGGCTCAAATGAGTAACGCGCTGTACTCGGGGAAGTTCTCCTTCTGTTTTTAGTTCGAGTCTTATTCTGTTTGTTTTACGCGTGGAGTCAGTTTGCCAGTTTGTCAGTGCGTAAAATTTTGGAAGCATCTGTCGACTGTGTGACCAATCTTGTTGCACTTTATATATTTTAGATTCATACGCTGGTTCAACGGCATATTTAATAGTGAGGGTTTCTTATCCTGTTGCTGGCTGTAGATGATTGTGCGTCATTGCGTCATTGCTCGGGCGTCGGTCGTTTTTGGTTCCTTGTTACGTTGTTGAGCCATAATTCCACGTCGACTGCCATATTTTTTGCTTCCGAAAGAGAGGTTGGTCGGCTGGGAATCACGAGTCTGCTAATTTCTGCTTTTAACTTTTGTATATAGATGCGGGTGGAGTTTTCTTCTTGTTCTAAAATTATTTTCCGAGCAGATGACGTTGAGTGTTTGTTCTTTACTGCCTATTTTAATTCATTTAATTGTTGTCGGAACGTTTTCGGAGAAGCCTTGACGAATATTTCAAAATTGAGTCACCACTCCATGGTTTGGAAATATTTGAATGTCGGCTTCAGAAATATGGAATAGAAAATATAGGGTTCTATTTAAGAATTGTGACGTGAACTTTGCAGGACGTTCCAAGGTCATATCACAGTCAAATATCTCCCACTGTGAGATGTAGTATTTCATACCCTGTAACTTTTGTTTGACACATTTGTTTGCGTCACTAATATTTTTCGAGATTATTCAGTATTCTTGATTCGGTCCCCATATATTTTTCTTAAACAACACTTATTTCTATCTTGGAAACTATTGAGTTTTGAACCCATGTTCACTGGGGTCTTTTTACTTAATTTAGTGAGTTGTACACGCCCTATTATTTATGCGCAACAATTTTGTTACACTCTCTATATGCATCGTAACATTTAAAATGGTACCTAGGTACGTTTAGTCTCTCCTTACTTGAAATAATTTTATTATTAATGTTATAATAAATAACATCCACAGCTCCGTGATGACTTCCAAGAATCTGTCGAAATGTCTACGTATTTGGTGGCTTTTGTGGTGTGCGACTTCAAACGAGTTTCGGAGCTAACAAAGAGGAACATTTCCGTAAGCGTCTACGCAGCGGAGGCGATGCTTCCACAAGCGAAATATGCTGTAAATACTGCTGCTCGTACAATTGATTACTTTGAATCTTTTTTTGGAGTGTATTATCCATTGCCTAAGCAAGGTACGTAATAAAAATATTTTGTAAATTGTTAATAAACCGCTTAGTATAATTAAATAGTAACCATTTTTTAAGAATAATTTTATGAAAAGTGAATTACATATGTAAGATAAATCGTATCCCCTTTTTGGTTTCCGGAAACCTATGAACTCTGTTACAGCATTTTTTCTATATCGGAATAACATATACAGTCGTGGATAAAATTACGTGAATACTATGTTTATTTTAGAAAATTCATTGTTTGGATACAATGTTGGAAATAAATTTTAATTTTTCAACATAGAATATTCTTCGAAACATCGAACGTATGTACGTAGTACAAATAAAATCATAAAATCAGTTCCTATAATTACTCGTACGTATTTGTTTGTATTGGTGAACTTTAGACCGTGGATAAAATTAAATGGACACGTAGAAAGTTTTGCATTAACAGAAAGACAATGTAAACAAACATTAAGTTTACAAACATTGTATTGGAATCTTTAATATTATTAAATAAATATGTCTAATAGGAAACAAGAAGTTTGTGCTTATTTAGTAAAGGAAAATGACAACAATTATGCAGAATTATAAATATCTGCAGTTAAAATTTGTTAATATGTTTTCTTTAAAGCGCAATGAACACGACAACACAAAAAGTATCTGATTCCACGAGGTTTCTGAATTTTCACAAATTTTTCAAAATATAACTAGCGATCTGCCTCTTACCTATTTCGACATCTTCAGCTAAAACGAAGTCATACAATTCTGCAGAATTGCAATCATTTGTAGTTAAAACTGGGTGCTATGTTTTCTATAAATCCAAATGATGAAGACGACATAAAAATGATTTACTTCTGCGAGATTTTTGAGTTTTTACAGATTTTTCAAGGTGGAAATATCGAAACAAATAGGAGACAGATCACGACTTATTTCTTGGCAAATTTATAAAAATTCAGGAACCTCGTGGAACCCATACATTTTTTACTTGTCCTGTTCATTTGGCTTTATAAAAAGTATATTAACAAATTTGAACTGTAAATATTTGCAATTCTGTCTGATTTTATTATTTTTTTTAAATATAACTATGGAAATAATGAGGTGAGGACTTGAAACATTTTAATATGAGCTAGTAGTGTAATAAAAAATATATTAAAAAACTATAATTCTTGTTCTTTGTCTATTAATTATAACAATTTTTTACTTACATTTTTTTATTAAATTAAATAAATTAAACCGTTCAATAAAATGATTAACAATTTTATTATTATTATATATTATAGATAATTTTTCAAGTAAAAATTGTTTTTCTTTTGTTTTGATGAGTTATATATTAATTAGGACTTATCTTAAATTACGTATCATTATTTCCGGAGACGTCGAAAAAGTTATGAAAAATGCGGTTGAAGATAAGTGTATGATAATGGTTATAACTTATTTGATTGCAACTTTACTGCTTTGATTCCTATTTCTACTAGTTTAATCGTATGTTACTTACTTAGGAGAACATATTATATGTTATTTACAATGGATTTTGCCCTAATTTATACTAATCCTTTTCCAGTATCTAGTATAGAGCTTGTGTTAATATGTGTACCATATTTATTAAATAACAGTTACCATTTGTATCAAACTAGATGTTAATGGAAACATACAAGAATATTTTAATGACAACTCTTTACATTAATTCATTGGGCTCTACAATCAATTCCAACGAGTACTCAAATATTTATAAAAGAGATATGCACTATAAATCATTATTCAGATATTGCAAAACTTGGTCCATAGTATTATAAACAAAAATAATGTTCAATGGGCAAATATACAAGATGTTTCGAAATTGTAGCGTATAAATGATGATGATGACGTATACAACTCACTAAACTAAATAAAAAGAATCCAGTAAATATGGGCAGAATACTCAATAGTTTTCGAGATAAAAATAAGTTTTGTTTGAAAGGAAATGTTTGAGGACTGAATTGGGAACACTGAATTATCTCAAAATATCAGCGATATGAACAAACGTATCAAACAAAAGTTACAGGATATAAAATACTCATATGATGGCGGGAGGTATTTAACCGTGACGTAACCTTCAAACGTCCTGTAAAGGTCACGTCATAATTTTTAAACAGAACCTTATAGTTTTTATTCCATATTTTTGAAATCAACAGTCAGATGTTTCCAAATTATAGAAACGAAATTTGTCTTATAAGCCGTTATCAACATATCAGCATTCAAAGTTGATGGTTCGTTAATAGTGACGGTGGCTCAAGCACAGACTGGCTCACCACTTGTATACAAAATGGCAAGGAGAAGCTCGATTGAGGAACCGTGATGCCTCTGTTTCGACAGATTCTCCATAGTGATTTAACCTTGAAATATGACGGAGTGAGTGAAATATCTATAGATTTCCATAAAAACACATGGGAGAGTAAATGAAGATAGCGACTACAATGACTGCATCCTCAGCTGTGAATCCACGATCTGATCGACAAACAATGTGGTTCACATTTTCAGTTTGGAAACTCATCGTGTAACAAACAAAGGTCCTGAGCATTCCGTTCTTTTACTCTTCCATAAAAGTTCGATTATCCATCGGCTACCATCACTATTACTAAGCGAACAATTTCATTTCTATGGTTTGGAAGTGTCTGAATGTCAGCTTCAACAATATGCAATAGAAATGATAGGGATCTATTTCATTTTTATTAAGACTTAATTCCTTCGATTTAAATATTATTGTTAAAAAAGTTATTAACATTTTACCTTAATTTACTTTTGTAATAAGATCGATATGTATAACTACACAGTGAATTTACACTGCATCTTGCAAAGTAATATTTCACAGGACTATAAATTAAAGTTACTGAGCATAACTATCTTTGGTAACTTGTGTGATTATCCGTTGATTTTAAATAACAATACCGAGAAAACAAAAGTAAATCCTGACAAATGGATTTTATCATTTTAGAATACAATTATTTCTGTATCAAATCGCATGAATCTTTTTCCTAATTTACTTTTAATACTCCACCGACTAGTAGCGGTCGATAGGCTACCCAAGAAACAGCAACTTTGGATGTTGACATCTTGATAACGGATTATGTGAAAAATTTCATGTCTGTGGTTTGGAAACGTCTGAATGTCAGTTTCAAAATATGAAATAGAAACTATAGTATTCTATTTAAAAATTGTAACGTGACCTGAGCAGGACGTTTCAAGATCACATCAGTGTCAAATACCTCTAGTCGTGATATGAGTATTTTATACCCTAACATATTTATTCGTATCACTGATATTTTTCCAAATAATTCGGTGCTCTCGATTCACTTCCCATACATTGTTTTTCAAATGTAACCTATTTTTATCTTTGAAGCTATTGAGCTTTCGACCTATGTGTATTGTGATTTTTTATTCAGTTTAGTGAGTTATATAGGCCCCATCATTTGTACGCTACAATTTCGAAACAACCTGTATATTCAAGTGAACAACAAGAACTTTGTTATAGTTATTAGTTTATAATTTTTTCAGATTTTTTGGGAAGGTGTATCATTCTCAAAAGAATAAAAGACCGATATTCTTTTTACATTATCGGCTGAATTATGCATACTACCATATTCATATTTTTACAAATATTATAAGGGGGTTTCTTTGAAAGATCTATCAAATGGTATGCGCGAATGTGGATTTGGTTTAGGGGTACTTTCACCCCTCCTTGTTCGGTTATGCCCCTTAGGTGATACTTTTATAATCCTTTAAATTCATCTGCGACACTAAACATTTTTGTATAACTACGATTATTCAGAATATAATTGAGTTATATTATAAATGTTGTAATTTTCTAAGATTCTTAATTATCGACTGATATCCCAATCTAGCGATTAAACGTTTCCTTACGATACAATCTTACCGTTCGGATTGTATCAAATAATTATAATTAAATAGTGTTACGAGGCCTACTAACAATCCTAGCGACTCCCTGATTTTACATCAGGTTCGTTCGTAGCAACACCTACTCCAAAGAAAAGATTTCTACAACCTACTGGCTCCCCAATTTCGCATTCGGTTCGCCCGCGTACCTAATTAACAAATTATCTCCATATTACCATGGTATAAACCTTCCACCCGGCCTCTCGCGCTGCTTGCGGCCTTGGTTCTTGACAATCCATTTGATTTAAAGGCACTTTTACCTCCCTTGTTTGGGCATACCGTTTCTAACATATATTCTTTGACAATGTTTTGCACAGAAGAAAGCGTATTAATACTGCGTACCTGCTAATTTTCAGAAAACTGAATTGTGCCGATGGCAATTTTGAGTAGGGTCAACTTATATCACTATACATATAGAAACTCAGATATCATATTGTTATGTAATGTATTTTAAATAGATAACCAATTTGAATCAAATTTAATATTTTTTTTTAATGCTGTGGTAATTGGCAAAATTGCGTAGCTAAGTGTCTTTATATGAAAACGAGTTAAAAAGACTAACTTAAAATTAAAAAGAGTATTATGTTTACTTATAAGAACTTAACACACCGGTACTTTGCGCATATTTTTCTGCTAAGTTACAAGTATTAAATTCTGTAAAAATATGTATAAGAAGCTCTATATGTGGGCACCATTCTTTAGATACACTTACTGCTGTGCGTGTATATTTCTATTACATTTGATAAAAAGTAGATCTCTGCTAAAAAGTTTACTATTTGCACACAGTGTACAAAAATTAGATGGTTGATGGAATTGTTTCGTTGTTTAAGACTATCTACACTTGTCATTTGTTGATTCTTTAAATTTACTGCAAAATATACAATGCTTATGTAATGCTGTCTTGTAATGACACAAGTTTCACGATGTATAGTTACAGTATATTACGAAAAATGGTATTATTATCATCTACGAGTTTACTCCTTGTTCACTTACAATAATGGAAAGGCAAAGAAGTTAATCTTTGTTTATTGTTGTTTCTGATGAAAAAAATGTTTTGTGCATATTAGTATGGTGACTAGAAACCAATTTCATGTGCAAACTATGTTTGGCGTATTATTTTAAATGATTAAAAATTATGTACACTGATCATATCTGAACACTTATCTTCGTTAAAACTAAGGGTTGGTACAATGTATTGTATTATATAAATAATATGTATGGGTATCAATGAAAATATCCTATATAACAATCAAAGAAATACAAAAACAATAATGTAAGTATTCAATATCAATACGAAATAGTTTTAATGGTTCGGTTAGATACATTAACTGTAGACTGACAATGAATAATTTCGTCGAATAAAGCTAATATGTAAGTTACATATGGATTAATGCGGATGTAGTAGTGCCGGTTAATCTGCCGCTTAATTAAAGTAGTAGTAATTTAGTAGTAAAACCATCCCGAATAATTCCGATAATAAAAATGCAGATTATTACTATAAATCACTAATAATTTCATTGTTTTATTTTTCATATTATTAACAATAAGAACTGAAAATAAGTATCTATGTGATACTAGTTTAACAAATTTGTATGAATCACTAAACATTAGCCCATTTGGTGTGAGTATCCGTATCATAAGTGTAAAAAAAAAAATTTACATGAAAACAATCTCTGTAAATCGAGGGTCAGGTACAGCGCGTTACTGACGTAAACCCAGCTCCACCTCAGTTCGCGGCTCGGCCAGTAACAAAGACATCTCCCTTTGCCCCTCTTCACTTTTGAGTCACTGGCCGGCTTGGCTAACGTGAGTTCCGTATAGTAGGTACATGTACATATGTAAAAAAGAAAAATAGTTTGCAAATTCAGCACAGGGGAATCTACCAGAATTACCTCCTGTTTATTTTAATATGTATTAGACAGGGCTATTAATCACTTAAAGCCATCTTTATTATAATTTCGCCACTTATACATCTGTTTGGTCAAGAATACTTACTACGATTTTTCGAGATGATATATATATGACTTTACAATATACTGCCAAAGTTATTTGAAAAAAGTATTTCACAGTTAGATGTAAATTCAGTAATTGCGAAAATATTGAAATATTGAAAATTAAGACACCTAACAACGTGAACAGCAATAAGAACACTTGTATATAATGACAACTGTTATATTGTAATTTTATTCATAAGCTTGCCATATAAAATAATTTTATTACTCAGGTGCAGCTTTTTATCCTTCGAACGTTTGAAGTCGTTTGAATTAGAATATAAGCGTTACTATATATCACCAGTATACATGACATTCCATAAATAATTTTACGTACTAACAGAAGTCGAAAGTGTTTAATAAATTTTCTTCCGAGGCTTCTTTTGTACAAAAATCAGAACTAAAAGTTTATGGAATACACGTGTATTTACAGCAATGGTCAATAACAAAAAGTTACACTATTTACTTGTGATACAAAATAAAAATACATGTAAGTTGAGAATGAAGAATAACAAAATAATGTAAGAAATAGGGAAAAAACATAAAATAAGAAGTGTAGGGAAAAATTGTAAGTCAAGATGAAGCATGACAAAATAATGTTTAAGATAAGGGACAAAAAAATATACTAATACTTTGTTACCTGATTTCGTAAGTAAATTAATCGTCTACATCTGGCAGCTATACTTTTAGCAGGGAGTTACTCAAGCGAACGATCTCGACAATAATTCAAACTTGATTCTCGTTCAAAAGAAGCCTCAAATAAAGATTTGTAGGATGACGATAAGGTTAATTACAATTTGGACGTTTTCATAACAGTCTTTATTAAGACGAAGCTGCACAAAATTGTTGCGCGTGCGAGTGACTGTAACATAGAACTGTATATCTCGGTGTTCGTAGAGTTCTCTCAGATCTATTAGTTTTCTAGCGGCTGCCACGATCTCCTCCTTATATGGGAAATTTTCCTTGCTAAGGAGGAACGCGATTGGTTTTTTGCCGACTGGTGGAAGTCGCGAAAAGAGAATTTATTTATTATTATTTTACAACTACCTGCCTACTCTTTGCGCCCTTAACGCGTTTCTTCGGAGTAGGGGTAGTTGTTTAAAACGCTTTTCTAAATTATTGGTGATGATGCAGCGGGGTGTCTTCCGGGCCCAGTCTAAGTGCGGTGCACAGCTTTGGGTCCGTGTAACCGGACTCCGACTTTCGCCGGTTGACGAAGCCCAGGCGCACGCTTCACGCGGGCACCTCGAGCTGCAGCCCTTTCAACGATCCAAAATTTATGGCGTCCGTTTGCGCTATTGAGACTGCCGTGGGAGAGCTACGTGGACCAATCTGTCCGCCATATGTCTAAAAACACTAAGGACACTTTCTCAAAAACAGCGTCTTACACTGCGCATACCATAAATCTCGCAGAACTCTCGTACGCCGACAATTTGTTTTCCGGCACGTTGTTAGCCGCTACAGACTTTTATTCTACACTTTCGATTTGTTTTGGACATAGAGTCATCCCTGCAGTATTAGGTATATAATGCGGATTATCCTGTATAATTCTGAATATAAATTTAAGCAATTAATCCAATGGCAAATAATTTTCACAAATATTTTGACGTAGCACACCGTCCTAACGAAATAATTTTCTTCTCTTTTTATCAGATTTAATAGCTATTCCTGATTTTGCCGCCGGGGCAATGGAAAATTGGGGCCTAATTACGTACCGTGAAACATCTATACTTTATGATCCACAAGAAACGTCAACTAGTGCCCATGAATGGGTCGCTGTAGTTGTAGCTCACGAATTGGCTCATCAGTGGTTCGGAAATCTCGTCACTATGAAATGGTGGAACGATTTATGGTTAAATGAAGGAGCAGCTAGTTTCTTCGAATATAAAGGAGTAAATCATATCTCACCCAAATGGAGCATGATGGATCAATTTATTTTATATAAAACTCAGCCAGCTCTTGATCTCGATGCCTTAACCAGCAGTCATCCTATAAGCGTACCGGTAAAAGATCCCAATGAAATTGAAGCTATTTTCGACGACATCAGTTACAGTAAAGGAGCTTCCATTCTCAATATGCTAGAAGGCTTTCTCTGTGAAGATGTTCTTAAAAGTGGATTGAACGATTACCTGAATACACACGCATATGGAAACGCCGATACGAAAGATCTCTGGGCAGCTTTTACGAAGAATGCTAATAACACTTTCGACGTAAAAGTATGTTAAAGTAAAGATAATATTATACTGATATAGTGAAAAGAATGTCCTACAGTACAATAATACATGCAATACAAATGATTTTATATGCAAAAATTATATTTTTGTATATGAATGATAATAAATGGTTAATAATAGTTAGTAAATACATAATATATATTAGTTAATAAACAACTATAATAGTTAATAAATGAAATTTCAGTATAAGTTTATATGTCTATTTATTTGCATGTTTATAGGCTGTCATGGATACATGGACCCAGCAGATGGGTTTCCCACTAATCACAATTACACGTGATGGCAATACTATTACAGCAAGTCAGAAACGATTTTTACTGTCTCCGAGAGAAAATGATACCGAATTATTACAGCCAAAATCACCCTTTGACTACAAGTGGTACGTCCCGTTGAGCTACTACACAGACAAAGAACCGCACAAGCTTCACAACGTGTGGATGAATTTAACCGATGGTAACATTTACAGGACAATTATAACGAAAATTTTAATATACTATTTATAACTATGAATCAGATATTTGCTGTACTTTTATCACAATTATTAGTCAATAATTTCTTTCGGTTCTGTATGATAATGGTCGTTGTATTATTAATTGATAGAAACTTCGTCTGCAATAATACATATTTAATAATGAAGCATTGTATTTGGTCTACCAGAAAGTTTTAAATGGAAAATATATTAACTATTTTATTATTTTATGACATAACTCCAAAATGTTTCTATAAATCAGTCACGTCGGCGCCAGAAACCTTTTTATTCTCGAAATTTAATATATCTGGATCCAAATGTTTAAATGTAAAAGTTATATTAATTTTTGATAGCATTCTTCCTGAAAGATGAATGATGCGAATGTGTGGCTACAAGCATTTCAAACGCTAGTGATACAAATACTCCGCATCTTTAAGTATTTATAGGGCAACATTTCATGTTCGAATCAATTTCGAACTGCTTCGAAGCATAATGACTTACATGTGCAAAATAATAGTTATTTTTACATATAACATGAAAACTACATATGCAATCATTTTTTTCGTCAGAATATTTATCGTACTAGCGAATATTCAAAGTGAAATATTTAAGCACAAAGCTTTGAGTTAGGTTAAGTTAAGTAAATTTAAGCAATACGTTTAGTATTTTTTCTTTTAAAGTACGTAATTACAACATAAATATAAATGGTAATATATGTATGTAGTTGCTTTTTTCCTTTATTTATCAGTTTCAAAACTTTTTTCTCTTTTTCAACATAGCTTTTGGTATATTTATATAATTATGTTATCTTCTCGATGGAATACGTAATAGAATATTATAAATGTATTTTGTTTACTTTATTTAATAATGTCTTTCTACCTGTATCATATAGGTTTGAATATAGTAAATATTTCAGAGGATGAACAAAATTTTCTGATAGACTTGTATAGACGTGATTACAGTAGGTGAAATTTAGTAGAGAATGAATCAAACTGTTTCAGTCTTTTAGGGCGAAGAATTTATTCCCATGGACGAATGAATTTATTGTCTAGTAATTTCTTATATTTCGATAATTGCAATTCACGTGATGCGAATATTATTTATTTTTAGTAACATTCGAGATACCCAATGACGTTGAATACATAAAATGCAATGTAAATCAAAGTGGATTTTACCGTGTAACTTACCCGGAAGACATGTGGACGGCGATCATTAATACTTTATTAAGTGATCACACGAAGTTTAGTCCAGCTGATCGTGCGAGTCTTATCGACGATGCGTTCACACTGTGCGAGGCAGGCGAATTAAATGCTACTATACCACTTGAATTATCACTTTATCTTCTAAACGAGAGGGACTACGTACCATGGGCTACGGCGCTCGGATATTTACACTCTTGGAAAGGAAGACTAAGCGAGAGCCCAGGTTACAAAAGATACAACACATTCTTCAAACAATTATTAACTCCTGTTACGAAATACGTCGGTTGGATAGACGAAGGACCACATTTAAAAAAGTAAGTACTAATCATACTTAGCTGCATGAACAAATAATTAGATTTTTACAGAATCGTTTGGATAAGTAAAAACGATTTATTACTGGACATTGAGACATTATAAATACTCAGAATAATATTTCGATACGTTATTCAGTTAAATTTTCATTATCAATTTTGATACGTTAGTTTATTAAAATACAATGTTGTCTTATTATAACAATATCAAAACTCAATCTCTAATTGATGACTAACTCAAGATTTTCATCTTTTGTGGTTCTATGATGAAACAAACTCGACATTCAATTTAACTCCAATAGTTACGTATTTCACTAGTTTTTGCTATAATTATTTATGATATCTTAACCCTCTGCTGGCAATATGCTTTTTCACTAACGCAGACGGCAATATGGATATTTTATGGTCTGGCCTGATTTATCATTGTTGTGCGTTCTGTACAAATTTCAAAAATATATAAAATATTTATTATAGTCCCCACCTTAATATACAAATGACTACCAGTGTTCCTCGTCCACTGTCGCTTTACATTGAATACTTCCAAAACACAAACGTGGGCGACAATATGGACGATTAACCCTTTATGGGCCGTAAGATACGGTAGAAATTCGGTCGTGACGTACACCAAGAACAGCGGAACTTTTCGTTAGGTGTATATTTCTGAGAAAGTATATTGAAATAATCGAAACACTGCATTCCACTACATTAAAACAATATTATTTATTTCTTTGTATTATGCGTTGAATTGTTAGTGTACATACTAACAATTTAACATTGACATTAATGTTTTTTTACGATATATCTAATAATTTAATGCAGCAATATTTTTAACCGCCTTTTGCCGCCCACAGTATCACAGGCGCAAGTTTTCTGAGTGCCTTTAAGTCTCAACAATAGTCAAAAGATTAAAGGAACAGAAATTATTTTGTCCTCTTCAAACTTGGAATTGAACTAATCCCTATAGGTACCAGATTTTTTAGGTGATAGACCTAGGCAGTCTGACTTCTCCGTTTTGGAGAAATTAAACAATAAAATTCTCGACAGGACCACAAATGGTCCATATTGCTGACGGAGGCTGAATCAAATTATGGCACAACATTAAATTACAGCACAATCTCAGTGTTTCCAAAATGTTCTCCAAACATGAGTAAATTTAAATTAAATTTAAAATAAATTCCTTGAGTGAAAAATGCAATAGATTAAGACAATAGTTCTGATCTTATCGATTTGACTACAGCGCTGACGTTGATAAGCTTACCAGGGGTCCAGGTTTTCTTGGATTCGTCTTTGTTTTTGACGCATCCTATGATTACAATGATTCATTACTTTTTAACACATTGTATGCAGGGACTTCATGTACAGATATCAAAATGATATCGGTATTAAGCCTGGAAATTTGAACCGAAATAATATTAATACCGGTATAAGGCTAAGAAAGCTATACTAAGACTTGTACATCTACTACCGAAACCGATATAATACCGAGAACCGAAATAAATACCGGTATTTTTCCGGCTCTTCTAGAAAATGCATTGCGATAAAGGTTAAGGATACATTTACATTGAAGCTGCGATAAATGATGAAACGTATAAATAGAAATTTATCGCTACATTTATTATGTAGATGAGCAACAAGACAAGCGTTATGGAGCAAATATACTCTGTCATTTCTTTGATATCATTGTCATTCTTATTCGTGATTGCTGGCGAGGCAATTCTCGGTGGTAACACGGTTACTCTCACGAATATTCTTTAAAAGTAATTAATAACAAAACTCTCGCCACAGATAAAACAAGAAAACCGAAATAATACCGATATTGTAGTATTCTGATTTTTATAAGGGTTAGGAAGATATCGCCGAAAAATACCGGTATAATAACGGTCCGGGTTAGATTATAATACTGAAATTTACATTTTTTGTAGAAGTTCCTGATTGTATGGTCGCAATCCTGTGTGTTTAAACTTACGTGGCGCAGGCCATTTTTGGCGATTTGTCGCCTTCGGTACAGGATATTAAAAAACTCCAATTACTCATATATTCTGAATATTCATTTCTCCTTTTTTAGTTTCTTATCGGAACCTCAATGATTTCTTACTATGAAAAAAAAAATTATAAAATACTACAATAGTTTATGCAGGCTATCAAAACAGATTTTCTCATTTAATATACTAGTATATTTCCTGCAGACTACCGAAACTTCACGAAAAATACACTACATTGAACAGTATGCTTAAGATGACCCGATTATTGTCGAACTCGGCAATTTCAACGTCTCTTTTTTTTTATTCGCAGACCTTTTTTATATATGAAACTTCAATTGCCTAGTATAAAATAATTATGATAGTAATTCTATCCTGTTTGCTGTTATCTTAATCAAAAACACATAACAAATATGATGGTGACAGTTTCATTCATTAAAAGTCAAAAACGAAAATGTTTGATTTTTTAATTAAAGGTCTCGAGTTCATAACAAGCCTTCAGTCGTGTTGTACTTTACCATGTCCGCCATGCTGAAATCATTGTATCATGGAATCGAATCGATTCTACCTTCCATAATTACAATGTTTGAGTCTCGATGAGTGTTATGATTATTCAATGTTCACTGTACAAGTGTAATACAAAATTGAAATTTAAGTATGATGTAATGTCCATTTAAAGTGCAAGTCCAACAATTTTTAGGATTATTAATAAGAATATAATATATTTAGATATAATACATAAGAAATAAATTTAGCGTGTTTATGAAACAGAAATGATATAGTTATATGAAGTTTTAAAAAAACATGTACTTGATCATAAACATTGGTTTAAAGGAGATGATTTTAGGTCAAATTATATATTTTTGTTTATACGTCATACTGCGGCCAATTTTTACGTAGTTTAAAATATTCACATTTTGTAATTGTTCATGTTATTTTTTTTGCAAAAAGTTTTTTGTTTGTAAAATCTCTTTATTCTGTAACATATTTACATTTTAGCATATAATAAATCAAGATGTTGTAAACTCATAAACATTTGTTAACAATTAAATTTTTTCACAGCTACTACAATTAATGCTAAACCTACTACTTATGATTAATCGGTCGATACATTTAATATCTCTCCATTCTAGTTTATTTCTTTAAGGTAAATGCGGTGTTTGGTACATGTTTTGATTTTGAGGAAAAGTATGATAGATAAAAAGGAAAAAATCCTCCCTTTCTTCAATTCTATACCTGACTGTGTACCTGTTAGTGATATTATGATTATATATTATTTGGATTACGTTCTTATTGTAGATTGCTTACGATTTAAATTTCTGGTATTCTAGATTAGTTATTCTAGTTATATTTTCAGTCGATTTCATAATAAATAGACAAATTTTGGTACAACACTGTATGCTTAAAGTTAAATGGTACATTGTGATCTTTTATTTTTATTAACTCTTTGGTCAGTATATTATTAGCTATTTGGTACTTATAGAAATTTAACGTTAAGTCTTTAAATGTGTTGCTCTATGGATGGAATTTGTGCGTGTTGTGTAATATTATTTTCGTGTTTCTGCGGCCTGACAATATTAGTCTTCGCATTTTGTTGTGCATTATTTGTGATTTGTTCGTACGTGTTATGGTAGTACTGCGCCAGACTCGTGCTGCATATGTTAAGATGGGACTAATTATCACTTTATAAATGAGTGTCTTATTATGCACAGATAAATGGGACTTATACACCATATTCTAGGTGCTTTCTCTAATGTGACATGCATAAATTAATTGTTTATCGAGATGAACTCCTAGGTACTTTACTGTATTTGTTAGACTTGTTGTGTGTGCGTTTATTGTTACTGGTTGGAAGATTTTGCTATTTCGTACCTTTTTCTTTGAGAATATTATTATTTCAGTTTTTGTTGCATTCAGTTGCATTTTCCATTTTCTATAATATGGCTCGAATATTGTCATATGCGTTTGAACTTGTTTAGCATCTATTATGGCATTACAGGATTATGCATAGATTACAGTATTTATCTGTAAACAAAGTTTACAGATAAGTTTATATCGTCCAATTACACATGGAATAGTTTGGGCTTTAAGACGGAGCCTTGAGGAATTTCTGCTTTAGTCAGTTGTTTCTTAGATTTTACGTTGTTTATTTGTACTGTAAGGTGTCTATCACGTAGGTATGAGGCAATTCTTGTTACCCGCGGTATTATGTTTTTCCCTGAAACCAAATTGTTCATCTATTATGATTCTGTTTCCTTGTTCAAATTTGTTGAGTCTATTATGCACTATTTTTTCTGATACCTTAGTCATTGCGGGTAGAAGATTTATGTGTTTGTAGCTGCTTGATTCTGTTTCCTTCTTCCTTGGTTTGTGTATTGGTACAATGATTCCAGTTTTCCAGCTCGATGGGTAATAGTGAAGTTTCAGCGCAGCATTTAGTATGTATATACATTAGTTGTGTTATAGCATTTCTGGGTAGATTTTTTAGTATAACATTCTGTATTCCATCAGCTCCTGCTGCTTTCCTTCCTGGCAGACGACTATTGAGAATCATTGGTAAAAAATGAATAGTTTGCTTGTAAATCGCTGTTGAATTTTGCGTGAGAGAGTAAAGGAACGTGATATCGATTGTCTCTTTTTGGTACGTTCCGTCCTTAACCGTTTGAGTCCCACGGGCCGGTTTCGCGCTCTTCAGATTTCATGTCGAAAAAAACCCAGCGCATTTGAACGATACGGACAACTGACGCCGCACTCACAATGTGACGAAACGCGCTCAACTTTTCAGACGCATGTACGTCGCATTACTACCTTTTTTGTATATAAGTAATCCAAGTAATACATTTTGTATTTCGTTGTTATCTATTATAAATTAATATACATTTATAATAGTATTAACATAGATTAAGACTTAAGAGACATTTAAAGCCTGAGCGCCGGCAACGTATCGGCCACTTAACCCAAACGCCGGCTTCATTCACTTAAAAAGAAATATTCAAAACATTATACATTTTCGTAAAATAGTACATTTTAATTGCATAGTCGTCAAATCCAGCAATGGAAATCCAGAAATCCGCATTATTGCGGGTCGGCGCTCAAGCGACAGTGTTAAAAACTTCTGGTCTAAACGGTTAAGGAGAATGGGATCAACATTGTATACCGGACAGCCGTCGCCGCGGTGAGTGGTATGGCCACCTTCAGCTGATGGATAAATAACGTCGAACCCATTCTCTTTAAGGATGGAGTGTATCAAAAAAGGACAATTGACATCACGTTCCTTTACTCTCTCACGCAAAATTCAATAACGATTTACAAAAATACTAGTCGTTCCTTCGAGACTCGATTTCAACCCCCTTTCTTCAAAGTCCAAGAAAATTTTGAAGTAGCTTCTTTACCTTAATTTCCATCAAACCGAAGGTGTAGAATCATGCTATGACAAAGAAGTACAATCATTTCTTTCCACCCTGTACGTTATTATACACTGTACTATTATACACTACATCATGTAATTTGTTTTGTATAAATATATTTTTTTATGCAAGTACATATAATTACTAACTATATTACAAAATAAAGGTCAAAGAGTAAAAGGAAAAAAAATAATTTACTTCTTTATATAAATAAATGTATAATTATTTTAATAGGATATTAGATAAAATATATTAATTAAATAATAATTTTCGAAATAGTTTATCTGAATAATACTAATGTTTTCCATATTTCTGGAATACGACGAGTCTGAAAAATTTCTTTTATTAAATGTAGCAAATTTCCATTATTAAACGCATTTACCCTCTGCTTTAAGCCAATGTGTCCTTATGCTTAAAAAGCTGATACAAATGATATAACTCATGGTGTTTTTATCTGATTCATGAGTATAAACAATTTATGTGTTATGTATATATATTAGAAGAAATTATTATTACCATATAAAATTGTTCATTTTAAAAAATCAATTTGTAAGTCTTACCACTACTACAATGAAATTTACCATATGATACCTTATATTGGATGTCTTTGGAAAATAGTTATATAAGGTGTAAAATAACATATGGGACCCAGTTCAGAAGTGAAAAGAGAACATAAAATCAGTGAATACAGTTCATATAAACATGTATTTTATTTGATCCTGTTTTAAAATCACGAGACTTGGCAATAAAATTCGTAAACTGATCGTGATGAAGTGATGATATTCTTCATTGTTCAATATTCTTACGGTTACTTCTTCCATTTCTGAAGCTCGCACCGTTATCAGCGTCATAATTCTCCCATCAAAAGAATTTTAGAATTGATTTTATGGAATGCTATTCAGAACCGTCGTTGTATTACTTCAAATGTCGTGAATGTCGTAAAAATGTATTTCCTTCAATATAACCTTCGGATATAGCTACAGAGTAATTTAATGCAATTGTTTATTTAGTAGCTAAAAACTCATACGACATATGACGGCAGTTCTGAAGAGTATTTCACAGAATCAATTGCAAAATTGCTTTGTGGGGTAGATTAGATACGGATAACAGTGTATAACTTCATAAAAGGTATACTTTGAAGCTGGCTACAATGAAGTCGAACAATGATAATTATTCTACTTCTATCATGTGCGAAACTATACATTCTCATAAAAGTAATTTCTCAGAATGGTATATTATGTTATGAGAAAGCGTTGTTTTCAGGTATAGAAATAAGTTAACCCAAAATATACAATTTTTCCAAAATATTTTCAAAGACATTTTTCACGAACAGTTATACACTTCTCGCCTGTGCACACTATTCTATACACAAACTATTATGTAATAATTTCAAACATATTTTCCATTTGTACAGATTATTGAGAATTGCCGTATTGCAATCAGCTGTGACAATGAAATTGGATGAGGTTGTAAGGCCCGCAAAATCTCTCTTTATGAATTGGATGTTGAAAGGTGAACGAATCGCTCCAAATATTCGAGATGTTGTATATGTCGCAGGTAAAATTATTTTCTGCCTAATTTGAATTAATACTAATAATCGTGAAAGGAAATTTAAATATCAGAACTACAAACGCTATCGTTGTTCTGAATATAAGATAGTACTTAAGAAAAATGGACTATTAAAAAAAAATAGAGATAGGTACATATTATAATGAGAGAAGTTTTTATATTTGTTTTAAATGGATGTTTCATCTCTAATCGAAATCCCTATGATTTTTGAGCAGCTATAACACAGGTCAATTTCATACTAAGATAACATTTGCAATTACAAATCTTTGTTTACAATCTACACCAGTTCTCAGATTTACAGTTCTTACAAAGTGCAACAATTTGTTCAGTAATTATGATTCTGTGTTGCATAAACAAGATTTCGCTACTTTCGATCCTGTCATACTAAATTAAAATACTAAATTATATTTTGTATTTCTTAATATGAATAATAAATATATATTACCTTCCACATTTGATATAATGAAAATTTTGTAGTTTCCAAGCAACAGTTTATTATTTTGTAATAAATAAATTTGATAAAATATTAAGAAACAATGAATTTGCAAACGTTGACACGAATCAAAGTTACAATTTTGTGTGCGTGCGTGCGTGCGCGTGTGTGTGTGTAAACCAAATTTAAACTTGCCTTGTAGGTATTCCTAGTGAACCTTCAGTCAAACACAAAAAACAGAAGTTTATACTATTATCATGGATTATATACATTTATTCTAGATATTACTATGAATTCGAATACTATTATCAAATAGAAAACGACATTCGGTAATATTTCCAGTATTTAAATAGTTGGGTTGTCTCAGAGACATAATGTTTATCAATAACTAGATCACGTTAATTACAGTTCAATAAATAATAACATTCCATTTTTAACACTTAATAAGCGTTTCTTATGAATTTATGATTATAAAATTTTCAATTGAAAATATTTTATGTGCTTTACTAGTAAAAGTTATGTAGTTGTTCGTTCGTTGCACACGAAAAAACATTTCATACAATTTGTATTGCACATTGTCTCTATTAAATAAATGTAATAGTATTGTAGTACTTGAAAAGTTAGCTTGGCTATTCTAATATTACATAACATTAATATTAGGACAACAAACGAAATATATGTTTATTTGTTTTTTCTTCAATATTATACTGATTTATATACAGGGATCAAGTTTGGTAACGAAGAGGAATGGAATTATTGCTGGCGGAATTATCAAAATACTCAAGTACCTAGTGAGAAAAGAATAATGTTAGAAGCATTGGGAGCAACGACGGACTCATGGTTACTGCAACGGTACCTGCTACGTTCGTTAGATCGGGATGTTGTAAGATCTCAAGATGTTGAAACTGTTATAGCGTCTGTCGCTAGAAATCCTGAAGGTCAGTTTCTTGCGTGGCGTCATATTAAGGCACACTGGCCTGAGATACATGCTTTATTTGGAAACGGGTCGCTGACAATGGGTGGACTTATTTCCGTTGTCATCTCCGATTTCTTTACGGAGTACGATTATTATGAAGTAAGTTTAAAGCATCAGTTCCTTTAAAAAATTGCTCTTTTTATTGATAAAAGATGCTCGTATGCATATGTTGGATGGATACAAAGAATTTTGTGATACTTTCCAAGAATTTTCCTAGTTGCGTGTTCTTCATTAACCTAGTATTAATGTTTGAAATATAGGCAAGTAACTAACAACTTTCGTCGTGATATTATAGGTGTCGGAATTCTTCAAGAAAGTGGACGTTGGAAGTGGACAACGAGCATTAGAACAGAGTCTAGAGATGATCAAGTTTAACATACATTGGGTGAAAGAAAATGCAGAAGTGGTTGACAGATGGCTAATAGACTATATGAACCTTCACACGAGTTAACCCCTTGCTCATAGGGAATGGGACAAACATGTCGCGGAACTATCATTCAGTCATTCCGTAACGATGCTTACTTTTTCATGGTTCTCATCGATGCACGATACCTTCAAGGTTGATGTGATATATCCAATGGAAAAGTAAGACTTTTGTTACTATTTACGAGGTAATTGAATCATTTATTTACCACTTAGGTATAATTCGCAGATCAAAAAATGACCCATTTCCGTCATTCGCGTCAAAGGATTACTTTCAGCAGATGAAAAATAACAATTCTTCGTTAAACGAAGGAATTTGGAAACAGACAAATATATTATTTAAACGGAATAAAATTTTGTTGCGAATCCCTCCTGCTGGAAGAAATCGTTCGACGTATCGAAACAAAGCCGAATTGTTTATATGTAACACATTATACACCGATTTATACGCACTTTCGAAAGTATTTATTTATTATGCACGCAGTGCGTGCAGATTGGATTACTATGTATAAAGAATGAAATTATAAAGAGAAGAGAGACAACGTTGTTCCTAGGATAGTCGCTAACCCATCATTTTCCAAAAACAGGGCTATCGACAAACGCCTGATAACGTTGATACTTTAGTCTCCCAAATATACTATACTTTATTACAAGGAGTGACAGTAGTCGCCTCCACGTGATACTCAACCCCCATTTCTGATCCATCCAGTACATTAATCGAACAGAGTGAAGTGAGCTTGCTGAAAATTTGATAAAAGGATGCTACTTACACATTTCACAACCCGTGATACGCACCACGAGAGGAGTAGCCGTAACACAGTAATATTCCGTGTTGGTTTCAAGTGTACAAAATTTCAATCGATTATTTCATTACACGACGAACCTTTGACATTATTTATCCATATTCGAAGGAAGGAATTTGTCCGAGATCAACGTCAAGTGTTCACTTTCTAAAAATTAAAGGATTTACAGTATACGCATAAATTGAGATTAACTGCTGTTCAAAGTTAGTTGGCTGCTCCCGTACCGTACAGTGCGATTTGCTGTAAATAAATACAAGGAACGACGTTATACTTGCGTTAGAACCAATCAAGTAAGCATAGAATCTTCCCGAAGCGATCGTGCAAACAAATGGTTCTTCTAAGTAGCATATCAACGTTAGAGAAGGTTGGCAGATTAAATCGGCCGAATCTTTGTCAAACAGAAGTCTAGTCTCTTGAAAATACTAACGAGACAAAGATAATTTGGCCTCGGAGATAAAAAAAAAAGAGCAGAACATATTGCAAAGATTGTATGTCCCTCAAAATAAATACAAAAAATTGATGTACCGTGTGTCATGTATTAATGTTGCTGCAAATTGCTGGAGGCGCGGGACACGTCTCGCGTGGAGCTGATCATTCTCCATGTAAAGTAGCATAATAGAGAATCGGATATTTTATTATGAACAAATGTATAAATTTATGTATGTAATCATGTGATGCTTTGTGTGGTGTGTAAATATTAGAGTAAGAGAACTGTGTGCCCTGTGTGATCGGATATATTACAGAAGGTATCTAGATGTAGATAAAACACGTTCATGCCAAATTTGTACTGGCCTTTATAAATATTCGTGTGATTTTGGCACAATCCGTAACTTTCAAATGCTAATTGAATTTCTGTTTGTTATCATTGGATATTAGGAGTTTCTGATTTATACCACACCTTGTAATTACATTTTACATTCTACATTCTAGTAATTATCCATTGACAATAAACATCAAGCGAAATAGAAGAAGACTTTTGGACAAACGATTCATTTGTTACGTTTTTAACGAGCGATAAAATTGATTTAGCATTTAAAGGTTAACGTACCAATTTTATCCTATAACATGAAAGAAAATGTAGAATACACGAATAACATTGTATATACATTTAGCACGAAGAAAATAAGATCGAATCAGAACGAAATTCTTATTCCATTCGAAGAATGGTGAGACACCTTATACATGTTCGGGTTTTATCTCTGGAAACTATGTTTTGCACGCCACTCGAGTGCTTTTGGTTACCGTCTGTATTCATTGGCCGAATCCCACGAATATTTGATTTCGAATGTTCTCGTCACTCTCGTTAAAAGATGAATCACTTGTTACTCAAAAGAGAAATGGCCATGTTACCATTATTTTTCACGCCAGAGCACATAAAACACGATCGATCTTTAGCCGTGATCAATTGACAAACTGCCGATGATGCTTGCAACTCGAATCTCCTGCGAAAGAATCATATCCTGTTTTCGAGATTTCTGCCAATTTTGATATGCTTTCGGTGAGAATACAGTTCCCTTAATTCTTAAGAAATCAAATGTTCATTTGAAATTCAACGATATTTACCGGATTAATGCCCTCCGGCCGGAATTATACACGCATGTTTACGTCTAGGAAGGGAAAACATCTGTAAATAACGGCTGCATGAATCTTTCATCGCCCCTTTAAGTAGATTTTGATACACCCCAACAGCGAATTAATAAATCGACGCACAACTAGATACCTTACGTGTAAATAGCATATTTTTTCACTAACGGATATTCTCTTGTTAAAGATTTAATGAACGAAATCGCTCCTTCATATTAGCGGAACAGCCAGACTCGCAGGTTCGAATACGAAGGAAGCACGAACGGATTGGCCTACTTTATAACGTTCACATGATATCCGAAAGTATAATACTTGTTTAAGAAATATCTGCAACTTTCTCATTGCTTTCGTTCGAAAATAACAATCGCACAGATTCTCATGTTCCTTTTAACGAACCTGTTTACAATTAAGTGAAGTTTCCGCGAGAGTCGTTTAACATTCATTCATTGTTGTCCCCCTTTTAACGGTAAATTGATTCGTACTACATTGTTTGATACTATACAATGGTCTAACAGTATTAGAAGAAACTCGTACTTTATTAAGGTGTTACGAATAACATCGAATGCAAATAAGAATACATGTTTCTTTTGAAATCTAAAGCGATATGAATCGAAATCAAGCCCACTAGATGCGAAGTAAATCGATGCAAAAGTTCTACCGAAAGACTGGACATCAGAGTAATCAAGAAGAGTACATACTTATATGTATTTTAATGCAATCACAACCCGATACTGTTACGTCTTAAGAGAACGAGGCTGTCTTGCATCTCATACTTATGAATGAATTATTGATATAACTATATATTGTATACCGTTCTCTACTGTACTGTTGTCATAGATATTTTGTTGTAAAAAAAATACGAGATATGTACAAGCATACAAATGAATATATTATATGTTTAAAGTATCTTGATCGTGATTTATTTCTGTAGGATTCGGACAACGCAGTGTCATTAAAAACATTTTATTACTCTAAATGATTAACAGATAAAAACAGTAAAGTTACACTCTCTTATCCTATTCTCGACTTTGCTTACACTGCGTTAGCGCTTATACTGAGTTCCCGCTGAACTCGCGCGCGCTTGATCAGTCATCCCCAATCACTTTTTCCTTCCCTTCACAGCCATCCCTTCTCACTTACGCCCTGTCCCTTGCATTTACAGCTAACACTCTCGCAGTCACGTATACACCTTACTAATCACATCATTCTCACGGCCCAGTCGTTCGGTTCCAAATATTCTTCCTTCACATCTCTTCGGCCGCTCGAATCATCCTGTGTGCAGACATACTTTCCCTAAACATACCGGCGCCACCCTGTCGCAAGACGACACCAAAACTACCGAGCAATTAAATCGTTGCTATTTCTTATATTTTAAGATAATTGCAAACAAACTTTTCATAAATTTAATTTTAAAAAGATAAATTAATTTTCCAGTTTTACTGAACAGAACTATTTCAACGTTTGCGCCTATTTTTTAATAACTTTCACGCCATTTTCAAGGTAAATAATTATGCATGTTGGATTTCATGAAAACATACAGAATATTGTCGTGTACAAAATTTTTATTGATAACCAGGTTCAAAATCGGCCACTTTTTATCATTAACCTTTGCAGGTAAAAAAGGGGAGCACGTTCCAAGTACGGTGTCATTGTTCTGCGACGGAAGACATTGTTTCGTATAGGTCTCCTCTAGTCATGTTTCATTGGAGTCTTTGCTCACCAACCATGCCGGGACTGCTGATTCCTGCCTTGACTCCACTTGAGTTTTGGGCAAACGGCATGTAGTCGGAATTGTTTTACGACAGCAGCAGTGATGACAGATTTTCGGAAACTGTTCGTTTTCTTCTATTCTAAACCGTTTTTCCTTCGCCAAGAAATGCAGGAGTCCGACTCTGGTATCGATACTAGTTATCGCTGTCACAGATTCATTGACTCCACCCTAAACACACCTAAATTTACATTGTGAAGCTATTGGAGTCGGCGTTTGTGTCGCCGCATGTTGCAACGTGTATGAGGCCCTTTCTACTCACGATGCGCTCGGGCTTTCGTTGCATGGTCATTATTGGTGCGCGGCAATAACAAAGAACGGAACTGTGACCGAATGTGACGAAGTAAGACGGAACTATAGAGAATTTTGTTTTTCGTCATTCCATTACGTCTTATTTCATGAAGCTTTTATCATTAAGTCTCATGCTCGGAAAAGGCGAACTGTATATTGTACAGTGCGTTATTGACGTTAATCCAGCCGGTCAGCGGTTCAAAAGTGAAGAGGGGCAAGGGGAGACGTTTTTGTTACTGGCCGTGTCGCGAACTGAGGTGGAGTGTACGGTCGAATCTGCTTGCCCCTCTTCACTGTTGAGCAGCAGGTCGGCTACGTTCATGTCAGTATCGCACTGTACCTGACCCTCGATTTACGCAGAGTTTTTCATGTAAGTTTCTTTTTTACACTTATGATAGAGATACTCAAACTAAATGGGCTAATGTTTAGTGATACATAGAAATTTGTTAAACTAGTATCACATAGATGCTTATTTTCAGTTCTTTTTGTTAATAATATGAAAAATATAACGATGAAATTATTAGTAATTTATAGTAATAATCTGCATTTTTATTATCGGAATTATTCGGGATGGTTTTACTACTAAATTACTACTACTTATGCTGCATAATAAATAACATTTTGGTTATTAATGTATATCTTTATAATTTGTGGTTTTTAATACAATGTAATTACATTCTGCAAAATTTATAAGTTAAAAAACATACCGCTAAAGTGTATAAACAGAGATGGTGAACATATTGAAATAGATGTACAAGCCAATATTTTACATAGCATAAACAAAAACAGTAATGTCTCTGACAAATAAGAAACAAAAGTATATTCTTTTATATAAATATTATTACTCAAATATTTCTATAAGAGTAGATTTCTCAATATTGGATCTTGACCGAAATTCAATATACTCACCACGTTAAAAATTGAAGAACAATTGTGATACAAGTTCTAAAATAAAAAATACTAAATAAGTGATCATTTGAAAATATTCTACGCATTTATATACAACCATGCCAACATTGAGGAACGCAATGCAATATCCAAATGAAAATATCTCCTGAGTTACTAATTTTTTATCATAAATGGCTTAATATTCTTTCAAGAAAATAATGGGTTGCGTCGATTAATTGCATAAAAATATAATTGATCTTTATGTTATTTATCTGTTCATCTAAAAAAAAGTGGTTATGTCAAGTTATATATCTCTTGAAACCAGATTATAATATTTTTTGTATTATAAACAGTTTTAGAAATCTTCAAGTGGATTTATTTAAATAAGATGTCCTCTAAATAAAGTATGTATAATATGTAATATTAAGCCAAATTGTTTGGAAATTATACATTCCTTAAAATTTCAAGTTTAAACCATCGAGTCATACATTTGTTTCATTGAAATACTTACATTTATCGAAATATAAACAAGTTTACAATCAATTTCCACATCTAATAGTTGCATCATCACGAAACATCATTAAGAAACGACTTCTGAAATTATATAATAGCTGAATTGTTCAATCGTCCTTATAATAGTATATTACAATGGTTCTTAAAATATGCACCGTAATGTTTTGTTTCATTGCGGATAATTTGCTTAGTTATAATGTATTTTCAAGATTTTCGAGGTAACAATTTTCCTTGTATGATATAATAGTAGAAAATATTTTTAAACATTTCTCACAAGTGACAAAATAAAAATTTACGAAAATAATTCTTGGTTTTCATAGTATATTTGATATATAGACGCAAGAAAATCACTTGCATGATTAAACCCGGAAATTATTGCTGGATTTAACAAAATTAATGTTTCCGTATACATTAAATAAGCATTTTCTATTTTGCTAAGTGAATACAATTTACTACATGAGACTCCAAATCTTTTTTATAACAGTCTCCATATATACATGTATATATATTTTTAATTACAGCTTTTAAAAAGTTGAAACATTTTTCTGTATTTTTAGGTTTTCCAATCTAGAAACCCTTTTTTATAAAGATATCATGTAAAATCATTGGTAATTAAATACAGAATAACAATTTATCTACTTTTCGTTAAATGAAAAGTTAGTGCCAATTATTTCGTAATGTATAGTCTGAAATTATTTACGGACGCTTGTTCATATTACCAAAACCCAAAACCTTCTCGCTAAAATGAACCATTTATTTTGTATTTTATACTTTTATACTCTACAGACTACATATCGCAACTTAATTAGCTTGAGATATAATTATAACTTTGACATATTTTATTACTAGACAAAGGTTTCAATTGTAATAAACAATCATAAAAGCAGATACTGAATACTTTAGTAAAGTAAATTTCTGACTTCTACAATATAAAAGATTACAATGCGCATATGTTTATAATGAAATGTACTTTTAATACTAATAACAGCATTGATTAAGTATCTAAGAAACTGTTGCCATTAGAAGGAAATTAATACTATTTACATAAAATTAAAGTACGGATAAATGTTCTAAAATTATACTGCATGTAACGAACGTACATATCGTGATTAACTATAAAGTGTCATTGGCAGATAATATTGGCACTTACACAATTTGATACTTCTGAAACAAATCACTGATTTATTTACTTACAACTGACATAGACTGATTTCATTAATAGTTAATAAAATAAAATATGTTCTAAGGTACTTGTGATGTCAAAAGTATATTATCTCAATAGAATGATAAAAATTAAACAGGCAGCGTAGTCAAGTAGGCATAAATGTATATATTTTAATATTGGCACTTCACGAATGCCTCGTCAGATACATCAATATAAATATAAGAAATTACATGTAAATTTATATGATAAAAATGCAGTATATGGAATACAACACGCATCAATTTTCTCGCGCGTAAAATCTTAAAAGTATTACCTGATGCATTATTTTATATCTTTCGAGGTATGAAAACATTGAAGATATGTCATCCTCATTAAAATATTAAAATAAAATTGCCACCCCGTTTTATACTCAATTTAGGAAACTACTATTTGGTTCCAAAGATATTCTTGCGTCGTTAAATCTTCGAATTGTAATTGTAAAGTGCTTTCGAACGACATTTTGATGGTAGGCTATAACGATTTATCGATCTAATTTGGACGTTGTTAAAAATATTACCTAAATTCAACCGCACATCATCTAAGTATAAAAAAATACATTAACATAATTAATGTCGACATATTTGTAATTGTTCCTGCAGATGCGCAATAAAGGTTGTCTCTATGGTAATACGTCGCAGGTGGATGCTCGTCTCCAGGTTTACAGTGTTCATGTTTCTCTTTTAACTCCTCCTGAAAAAGATAAAAATTATTCTATACTTCGGTATTACGAAGAAAATTTAAACATCATATATATCGATACTGAGTAGCATAATCCCTTATAACAGCACCTAATATGGAACACCACAATATTTTGGAAAATAAACAACTTCATGTATTGCGTACTATAGGAAAGACTTCATTACCAGTAGTAAACAATCATAATAATAGTTGGGAATCAATTGAAAATCTGTCACTGTAAACGAAGCATTATTATATTTGGTAGTACGTTACGTTGAGAGACGAAGTAGTTTTTTTTGTGAACTTACAGAAAAATTTCTCTTTCACCGATTTCGACGATCTCTGGATATGTTATAAAATTCAATAATTCGAACGACTGTGAACTCTTTGTGACAAAAAGACAGATCTTCTTTAATTTTGGAGATAATAGCAAAAAACATGTTCGCTACCACTACAGTAATGCTTGCTTAAATTCCACAGAAATCTGTTCGGCTTAATTTCACTGCACCATCCCTACTCTTCCCCCATCACACTGTCTCGTTCTAAGTCTGACGTGATCCCAGACAGGGACGAAAAATGAATATAATGAGGGGTAGCAGATGTCAAGTATAAACATACAATGAAGAAATTTCAATTGTAATAATTTTAACCGTACCTTCTCAATCGTAGTACCGACGGACTGTTGAGAATCCATTGATTAAAACGAGTCCAAAGACGACGTAAATCGGCCTAGTTTTATTGATTTGAGGTAAATGAACTTTTAATTTCGTTAATTACGTTAAGGCGATAAAACTAGTCCGATTTCTATTATGTTTGAACGCGTTTTGGTCACAATAATCTCAGAAATTCACAGGCACTATATTTGAGAAGGTAAGGTTAAAATGACTACAATCGCAATTTTCTTCATTCCATGTTTGTATTTAACGCGTGCGATATCGCTTTGAAGTCCCACGTTTCGACCCTCGATTTTCGGCGGACTGTGTCTATCCGGCTTTCGCTCACTATATCGATTCTCTATCTTTGTCAGGCTGTGCCCGATTCAGTTCTCAGGAGAGAATAACGTACTCGTGTTCTTTCTGCTCGGTTAAATTCCACTGCAAAGACCCGAAATTGTGGAATTGAAGCGAGCATTACTGTACATTGAATTATATATAAGTATTAGGGGTACCTATAAGTAATGTCGTATGCCCTGACGTTTGGCGTTGAAACAATGTTGTAAACTTCGTGTGAATCGAGTTGATGATGTGCTTAAGTGACCTCAAACACTGTGTTTATATGCTGCTTCAGTTTACTGGGAGATTCAATATTATTTAAAAAGAATGAGTCCAGATAAAGTGATAACGGAGCATATCCGACATTGTATGTTTTCTGAATTTCGTAAAGGAAACAATGCTACCGTTGCAACAATATTAATCAATATTAATAATGTTTATCCCGAAGTTCTAGGTGTCTGGAATTGTCAACGATGGTTCACAAAATTTCGGAGCAAGGACTTTCGTCTGGAAAATGATGAGAGATCAGGAAAATTGTCTCTTCTTAAAGACGACGAATTAGGGTCGGTAGTTGAAAAAGATCCGAGTTTAAAAATTGGAGAGATTGCAGAAATGCTTGGTGTATTGTAGTCTACTAGACACACGCTTTTATATGATATAAAAAAATATACAGCATTCTATTTAAAAAAATGAACGTCACCTTCATATCTAACAAAATAGTATAAAGACAGAAAGATTACATACACCATTGTCTTGCGTATAAAAAACAGTACTATTTTTTCTCTTTTATTTTTTTCTAATATTTACTATTTATTACTGTATATATATTTACTGTATATGTAGAGTATGAATCTTACGATTGGATAACGCCGGTATATTTGGGGGTAGTGTGACTGCAGTCAGGATGATCTGGAATGGATGAAGAGGTGCGAAGAAAGAATGTTTAGAACTGAACAATTGGGCCGCGAGAATGAAACGTGTTTGCGTGAGGTTTAGCTATGGATGCAAAGGACAGGGTGCAAGTGAGAAGGCATGCATGTAAAAGAAGGAAAGATTAATTCGAGATGACTGATAAAAGTACATGCGAGTTCAGCGAAAAGTTAGTCTAAGGCACTTAGTATAAGAGAATCTGAGGGTAGTCTGGTGGTAGTCTGAAGAAAGGTTGGAAGAGAGTGTTAGAGTCTGTTGCGAGCGATCTGCTGAACTACATTCTTGTTATTAATCATTTAGTTTAATAAAATATTTTCTATATTTTGTTAAACATGTGAGTTCGTGTAATCCTCCACATAGTCACATCCTACATATATATTTCTTCGTAAGAATCTAAATTGGGATGATTCGAGTTTTATAGAAATTCAATGTAAAAGCTATTAAAAAATGAAAATAAACAGTTATTCTAATAAAAATACAATCGCGTAACTGAGTCATTCTCACCTGACATATATCTCGACATGGAGGACAAATTAAAGCACCTTTGTGGAGCCATCCATTTTGTAATATTCTAATTACTATTTCTTGGCCTGCATGGTAGCAGGTGTAAGTATAGTTTGCTACCTATAAGATAAAAGAAGTATGATTTCATATATCATGTTCAATGTTCATTTACGTAACGATATCTGTCATTCGAATAATAACGGCAAACTGACCATAATGTGTAATCTGCCGGCTTCACATTTATATTGATAACAGCCAGATCCCCAATGTCGCCATTGCCGAGCTTGTTCACATGTTTTTTCTTCCCACATCTGATTGGTGTGATCGAAGCATCTTGAATGTGGACCGTACTTCTCCAAAGCAAAATTCTTGTCTGGATCTAAACAGAAGTTTTATTCGTGAATGATATCTTATCTTTTACTTGTGAATACTGTTTTGAAAATAAGTTTAATGTTTTCGCATTATAATACATAATACCCAATGAATTCAATTTCAGTTCATCCCATTAAAAAGTTTACCAAAAACGTGCCTCTACACAATAAGCATTAATTTGCTAGACGCCATATTAAAGCAATCACAATCAAATAAGGATAATCGATAATAATAATATGCTACATAGATTGCTGCTACGTGGAAAAAGTACGTTCTCAGTATTTCAAAGAGCATATGTACATAAGTGAGCACTACTGTACTCGTAATCGAGTCGCTGGATATATTCGAGAACTTGCACTCCCCTACTGAGAACTCGAGTCCTTGACGCTTGAACAACGGCTACAATTTTCAAAGCTCAGGAATCAAAACTTATTTTTACAACACTATAAGGATTTATAAGCTTATCTGCCCGATGTTGGCGGGCAATTTAATGTAGATCGTATTCGTGTACCCTGTGTTGTTCACGAAAATGTCGATCACATTCTCCTAAAAGACGGAATGTACAATAATTTACAAGAAAACTATTCACTTTTGACCTTTGGTTCTTTTCAGACTATTTGCCTCCGCGGCGAATACAATACGATGGCACAATAGAAAACTGTAACCCTTTTTTTCAAAGGCGAATAGAATTTTGCGGCAGCCTCTTTACCTCAAACTCCATTAAACCGAGGATGTAGAATCCGCTACGATAATGAAGTGTTAACATTTCGTTCTACCTTGTACAGTATACAGTGCGTTACTCGCGTGAGCCAAGTCGGCCTGTGGCTTCAAAGTGAAGAGTGTCTGTTATTGGCCAAGTCGCGAACTGAGGTGGAGCGTGCAGCTGAGTCTCCTTGCCCCTCTTCACTTTTGAGCCACTGGCGGGCTTGGCTAACGTGAATACCGTGTAGTAGGTATATATACATATGTAAAAGAAAAAAATAGTTTTCAAATTCAGTACAGGGGAATCTACCAGAATTATCTCCTGCTTATTTTAACATAAACTATGTATTATACAAGGCTCGTAATTTCTGTGCCACAGGCCGGATTGGCTCACGTCAGTAACGCACTGTTCACGCATTTCTTTGTAAAAATGTCTGGAAAAGAGTTTCTGTTTGTATTAGCCGCAATGGCTTAATCGTTCCACAACATATCAGACTGAGGTATGATAGTAAAGTAATTGTGTTAATTCAGTAGAATGTGTTAGAACGTACTACAAATGCAACTGCATACACTTTGATTTCAATTATTACTAACTATTAATAATCTATTAATTAATTGCTGACCAATCCGCTGCATGCTGTCCGCTATTCGCAAAAGTATTTACACTGTCGGCGAACATATTTTTGGAAACTGTTTGCGTACTATTATTAAACAGCAGTACAGACTTGGCATTCGAACTTATCTTGTCTCTCGACTGAACTTCATCTTTTAATATTCCATCGATATCTCAAATTATTTCGCTATAAGGCGATATCATAGGAAATTGGACATCTTACTTGATTTATTTTATCATTCTTTATAATAATTCAAGATATACTAGAAATACCTTTAACACGTTCACGCCGATGCTGTAATTCAGTTTTTTCCCCATCTAGCGGCGAAATTCTTAAATATTAAAATTATCAATAAGTAAATTAATTTTTAACTGTATATGGAAACTTCTTCTGTTTACCAAACCAGTTAACTAACTACACGTGTGATGGTACCCGCCATCTGATGTGACATCAAAATGTGAACTATCAATGGTACCCGTCGTCTAATATGATATCGATGGCTCATAAGCCACCGGTGGTATGCGCCGGTATGAACGTGTTAAATATTTAAAAAGTAGTCATTACCGATTAGATATAGTACTTACGTGGATTATTCTCTTCGTAGAGACAATGAGAATCTCTGACTACTTTATTCAGAGCTCTCCATGTGAATTCTTGTATATACGGACAATAATCTGCTAAAGCTACCGAACCACCATAGTATTGCACTTCTGAGCTCGGTACATAAGGAATTGAATCAAAATTCTGTAAACCAAAAGTTAGTTGTTAAATTTTCTATATACGTTAATTTATTCTAAGAATAGGATGATTTCGGTTGAAAAATAAAATAAAGCGCCTTAAATCCTACTTTAAGTTTGAAAACCTCCACACGTGGTACATGTATGTACATGTTTGGTATAGAACGATCGGACTACGTCACAAGTGTACATTTTAGAAGATAGAAGAACTTGCATTGTAAATAGATAGAAGCATTGACATCCCTCAGTCACACAATTATCTCTGAGAACGTGTAAGCTCTAATTCTGCCGCCAATTTTCAGAAGTAAGTTATTTCAATTTTGAATTCGCGTGACACTTTTTTTCGAATGAATTATTTTAATAACATCAATAAAAATGTCACGACCATCCATATTTTTAAGTGCAAGTCATTCTACGCCAAACAGCACAGAATTTGTCATATGGTCACAGATTTTCTTCAAACTTGCATTTACATTCTGTTACATTGTGTTACAGTGTATAAACTATTGAGATTTTGTAAACACATAGGGTATAATATATCACTAAAAATTCACTTTTTGAATTCTCATCTGGTATTTTTTCCGAAAATTTGGATGTCGTCAGTTTTGAACACGAAAAACGACTTCATCAAAGTGTACAGGGTAAGAAAAAGGGTAAATTGAATGTATTTAAATATGCTTGTCGATTATTGGTGGACACTAAAATGAGATGCACCGCAAACAAAGTATTCTAGAAAACTGAAAAGTCTCACTGCTTGCATAGTGTACGTACTGCAGCATCCGAATATACAGTGTGTCTGGTTTAAAAATGTTTTATTCTGGAAAAGCACGCAAGACACGAAAAAATATTTAAAACAAAAATCACTTAAAATAAATTATATTAAATGTTACATTACAGGCTATTATATTTTTTACTTTAGGGTAACCTTGAAACTTCCTGCGAAGGTTACATGAAAATTTTTAAGCAGAATCTTATATTCTCTAAGCCATATTTTTGTAATTGACATTTAGACATTTTAAAAACAATACACATTTTGATTTTTTGTATAAATCGTTTTGAAGATATAAGTAAGGAAAGTTTCCGTGCTGTCGGCATTAGCTTATCTGATGTTATCCGCTGTTGATGTTAGACAATCTTTCTGCGGTATACACCAAATAATGATAATGTCGTCAACATTGTTACGTACGGAGAATGACTTTCGTACGACTCTTCGGTCTCTGGCAGGAAGCGATCTATGGATAATCCATTAATTCTTCACCTAAACAGTAGCGTCCTTTGAAATAGAGCAACTGGATCGCAACTGTAACAGTGCGTCATACGGCTACTCTCATCCGTATTTTGGGATATAGAAACTCCTTTTACCCATTTTACCCCGTAAAAACAATTTTTACTCTTATCGGTTCAAACTAAGAAAGACTCCTGTGCTGTTACGTCGGTCCGCGCCAGTTAGAAATCGGTCAAGTCGATTCCAATAAGATCGAGTTAAAGTTCTTTTCGAATCTAGTTAACCTTATAGAATCTGCGAGTCCGGTAAAGTTTCTATTTGGCAATTCTTTTCGACCGTCCTTAGACTCCGCATTGCCAGTGCGTCAACACTGAGCAACTCAGGTAATAATTTTATAATCATTTAAACTCGTCGCAACACTAAACATTTTTGTAACCACAATTATTCAGAATATAATTGAGTTACATGAGAAAACATTGTGACTCTCTAAGACCCTTAATTATCGTCCTAAATCCTAATTTAGCGATCGAACGTTCCCATACATATACAATCTTACCACTCGGATTGTATGAAATAATTACAACTACATAGTATTACGAGGCCTACGACTTCTCGATTTCGCGTCAGGTTCGTTTGTACTTTATCCGACCTCCCAGCAGCTCTCCAATCTCGCATTGGGTTCGTTCGCGAAGTTTCACCCCCTACAGCTCCCTGATGTCGCATCAAGTTCGTCTGTGCGTGAATCCATTCCTAGTGGCTCCCCAATTTCGCATCGGGTTCGTCCACGCACCTTACTAACAAACTTCCATATTACCAGGGTATAAACCCTCCACCAGGTCTCTCGCGCTGCTCGCGGCGCTGGCTCGTAACAACATATTTTTAGTGCGTATATCGCAACAATGGTTTATACGAATATAATACATTTAAGTGTTTTGAAAACGTCTAAAGAACAGATACAAGACTGTGGAATAAAAAATATATGGTTCCATTAAACTATCTCAACTTAACCTTCATAGGACGTTTTAAAGTTAGTATAAGATGAAACACACGCCATCGCCATACTTGTCCCTTATACCTTTCAATTTTTGTGTGAAATATTTTTTTATACAGTGCGTACTTCATCAGAAAATTCAACATTTTCATTTAAATCGAGAACACTGTATATGATTGTATGAATTACTAAATATTAAATTGTGCGTTACTAAAGAAACCTCATATAATGGAAAAAGATGAATTGTATGTATGAATTCAATATAAAAAGTATTATTATGAAATAATATATTAAACCTTGTGTAACAAAAAGAATGAAAATTTTGGTAACCAGTCCCGCGAGACAGTCAATATATACAGTCTCACTGGTTTTTCTACATCACGTCATTTGGACGAGGTAAAATTATATTCTATCTCTTTCACAATCAGTATAAATGGTCGAACTCATTTTACAGTGTAGAAAATATTTTGCAGTTAAAGAGTTGAGGCATGGAATTACTTCTATCTTGTTTTTTCATCACTCAGAATATTAAAGTATTGAAGGTACGTGCAGTTATTTACTGACAAAAGTATTCGCTTATTAATATGTATAATATATTTTATTAAATAAAATAAATATCATTATTAAATTAAATAATATCATTTTTTAATTGAATCTAATTCTAATTAAAAATATATAAATCAATATTTACGATAATACAAATTATACGTGGTAACTGAAACCTTAACATTCCTTAAACGTGTAAAATATATTGTATCTACATATAAGTACTTATGTAGGTGGTCGGATACTTTTGTGAAAAACTGTACATCATTACGTGTAAACGGATGTAAATATCTTATAATGATAAAGTAATGATAATGATAATGATAATGATAATGATAATGATAACGATAAGGATAATGATAAAGATAAAGATAAAGATAAAGATAAAGATAAAGATAAAGATAAAGATAAAGATAAAGATAAAGACAACGACAACGACAACGACGACAACGACAACGACAACGACAAAGATAACGATAACGATAACGATAACGATAACGATAACGATAACGATAACGATAATGACAATGACAATGACAATGACAATGTCAACGACAACGATGACGATAACAATAACAATAACAATAATGATAACGATAACAATAAAAACAGCAATAACCACAATAATATAATTATTTTCAAAATCTTAGCTGCTGAATGTTCAATTCTGTATAGTAGATATTTTAAGGGATAATTCCATAAGCCAAAATAAAGCAATAGTTAAAAGTAACGTAATTGTCATTTATGTTTAGTTTCCAAGTTATTAAATATTAACGCGTTCACGCCGGCGCTGCAATGTGTTTCTCGCCATCGGGCCATCTCGCCATTAAGAGCATCCGATGTGACCTCCAAGTGTGAGCCACCAATGGCACGCGTCGCCCGATGGGACGTCCAGGGGTGATCCATCAGTGGTACGCGCCGGCGTGAATGTGTTAAACATTTTTTTAAATTATGACGATTCAGTAATAGTAACGCACATAATGCAATTCAGCACGAACGTGGGGAATAATGTAGTTAGCAAAAAACAGTAACGCAATGCTATTTACAAATTTTAATCGTTAATAATTTGAAAAGAATCAAAAACTACTACTCGTTACTCGTAATCTTTATCTTAATTTATCATGTAAAGTCTCTTCTTCAAATATCTACTATGTAAATGTAGTCAATACCTCGTATATGATTTCTCAGCATTGGTCACATAGACTAACAAATGAATGCTACTTTAAGTTAGATTTATGTTTAAATTTATATACGCCATATTTGCATGCTAAAGAGCTAAATAAAAATTCGTACCTGATATTTCTTAGGCAATGGTTGTAGATGCTTAATTAAATTGCAGAGTGCAACTGAACTACGATCATCAGTACACTCTGTTTGCAATGGATCTTGCTTCACTTTATTACAAAACGGATGAATAGATTTCCCCCTGAAAATTAAGAAAGATTCTTTAAAATACTTACAGACATATTTAGTATGAAATGCTAACAATTTTTATCATTTTCATCAAATCGTTACCGCATAAGAATTATAGATGACAGAATCAAATTTGAACATGTAATTCATGGAAAACTGAGTATCCCTTATCTGTTTTATGGTTGCTTTAGCATTAACCAATCTAATTATGAGGCAGTTAAGTGGTATGAGAGAGGTGTTTATAAATTTTACCTTTAAGATAATAAAATTCCTAAAAATACCTTGACTGCCACGAGAATTTCTAGCCTTTTGTATAGTAATACTTATTCTTTCATACCAAAGGTAAATGGTATTAAAAATAATGATTAATGATTTAGTAAAACAGTACTTATATTACACTATTATCTAACTACTTAAGTTACTAAATATACGACATCAATTTTTTTACTATAATTATTCTCAAGCAATTTCGAAGCTCTAGTCATCGGTCAATTACTGTGGCAGTCAACATGTTAAGGACAGCTATATAGATTCCACTTCAATGTCTAAGTTTCATCGTCAACAGTCTGTTAAAGGTGGAATTTCGAAAACATATAATAAATTTGAAATATCTACTCATTTGTAATCTAGATTTCAGTTAATAAATAACACAACGTCAGGGTAGCAGTACTTACGATAAACGAGAAGATTTAGAGGATATCCATTCTTTGCAGGATTTCATTGCAAAATTACAACCAAGGTTTTTACCCCATCCCAATTCTTGAGCCATGGAATAGTTTGCACTGTACCATCCAGTATCTTCCATGAGGGCGAGTGTTATTCTTGAATACACCGGATTTTGTGTATGTGTTCCTGTCATTGCTTCGTTCTATGTGAAAAATAGTAATAATTATTAGAGATTTACCACTATAATGAATAAGTTACTTAAATAGATAAATGTATAAATATTTATATTAAATACAGATATTTTTAATTATTACACACGATGTACGAAAACATGAGAATAATTTTCATATAAACATAAATAAAGTAATTGTTTATTATTTGACGAGTTGGCGTATCGTTCCGAAAATAGTAACAACCAAAAACTGACTACTAGGTAGTATGTAGTAAATAACTGTTCATTCTAAAGTGTCTTTTTCCAAAATTCTTCTGAATTTGTTTTATAATATTTTATAATATAGTTTTCCTGTACGCGTGGAAATCATACATACAAAGTATGTTGAACATTTTTAAGGAAAAAGGCATGCAATATTAATAAACATAAAAACAGAAAAGTTTAAATCAACATCAGACTTCAAATTTATTCTGAAAGATAGACTTGAATTATGCAATTGCACTCGATTTTTATAAAAACAGACAATATTTTTGAATGTTTGACTTAGATATTACGTTTCCGATTGATTAACAAAATTGTTTTTTCAAATTTAAAAACCAATTTTTATGTTGTTAATTTTCCCATGAAGATTGCATGTTTTTAAATTGAAAAAGGTAATCGTATTTCTTGAAACTTTACGTGTGAAATGAACTCTATTCCAGAATAAGTTCTTTAAAATGAAATTCATAATGAAGATCCATTTAATAAAACATGAAGCTCCATTTAATTTCCATTCTAACCATTTCCTTCGTATCTGCTATAACTTTAAAAATAAACGGAAAAATATGTATAGTAATATCTATTGCTATTCAGGGAGTTTCTTCACCCTGATCTTTCTCTGAGATTTTTTACATGCTTGCAAAGTTTAAAGAAAATTCCGAATTTTTAGTTTACCGGAATTCCCTTGTAAATTAAAACAAAATATACTTTAATAGTTTAATTGAATGACGTCTTCAGGCACAAATCGCACATGACGGCAGAATTAAACAAATTGATAATTTTTTCCTTCCATTGTAAATGTTTTCTTTCAGAAATTATAAACTTACTTCAAATACTCGTTTTTCCCAATGTGTTAACGCTGTGCCATCTTCGCCTTGATCTTCTAATTCTGCACCTTCTAGTTCTGGACAATTAAAGTGAGCTTGCACCTCAGCTCGAACTTTGGGTGTAACTATCATTTGAATAGACCTTTCCACATATCCACCATGCACATGCCAGTACGGTCTAACCACCGTTTTAATAGTGCTTGTGCTCCATTGATGTGTTTGCAACCTGTCAATATTGAATATGAGATGTTATCAATACAATTTCAGTCAATTACATTTGTTCCTTTATTAATGCAAGAGTAGCTTTTATAAAAGACATAGAATTAAAAAAATCTGAATAAATGTTTAAACAGATAGTTACTCAACATTTTAAAATCAGTTAATTTAAATCATTATTTAAGCATTAATTAAAACGCTTAATTAATTATCACGTTATCAAAGAACTGAACTCAGATCTCTAAAAATAACGAAAAGAACGCAACAACAATAGCATTCAGCATACAATGGTATTGTGTTAGACTTTGTCGATTCGCAGATTGAATGAACAACAGGTTGAAATATGTATGGTAGTTCAGCGATCATTTAGAATAAGGTTATTTTGCAGCGTCTTGGTTAGGTCTCCTGTTACGATTATAAGAGCGTTCTACTCTAATTATGAGTCCGTTAATACCTAATTCAAAATAATGTTTTAATGGTGCAGTTGTTAAAATAACGGTATGTTTCTATTCGAAGCAAAAACGTACACAATCAACACAAGGCTATTCAAATGAGAGATAAAGTAAAATCCCGTATTATGTCGATGGCAACCGATTGTATGAGTCTTCTAACATCATCTTTTCAGAAAATCGGAAAGGAGCATGCAGGAATGGCCTAGTGAAGGATAACGAACCAGATAATGTTGAACTGCTGAATAAACGAGGATGTGGAATAAAGAACGATAAAAAGAAATAAAGCGTAGAACAAAGAACGCCATGGAATATCGTCAGTCATCGTTGATTTCTGCAAAAATTCAAAAGAGAAAAATACTTTGCATTTTATACTGTTTTCTTTACATCATTTTTGTTCTATTAGTAGCGTTAATAAAGATACATTTATCATATAGATAAAAAACTAAAATCGATAGAATATTTTATTATGCTTCGTTCGATAGTCCTTAAGCAAGAAAATCGACTTCATTTTATATAACAGAAATTAAAAAGACACAAATACACAGTCACATGTTCCAGAGATTAGAAAGAAGAAGATATAAAGAAGCAGACCAGATTTTTGCCACACTACTAGTTAAAATGCAACGAAGGATGCGAGGAAGAGGAATTCTGAAAAGGGAGAAACACATTCACCTGCCAACGCCGAAATAGAATTCGTTACGGTCCGCTGAACCAAATAAAACCAAAGACATGAGGAGTCTTCCAATTTTAAAGGCAGATGTGCCAATACTCAAGTGAAGTTTGGGAGAACATATCTGAGAAGACATTTATCTGCCAGTAAAACGACGACGGTCAAAGTATTTACGTTACTGTCGTTTATTGAATTGCTGAATAAACCCAACTCATTTTTATAAATAATCACATTTATAATAAACAATCAAAACGATAATAAACAAACAAACTAAGTAGAAAGTTGAAATCAGTTTATAAACTACCAAAATTGGATATAAACTACTTCCTAATAAAAATACACATTGATTTTAATGAAAATTTCATGGAACATACTTTTCAAAAAAATATTTCATACAAATTTTTTTATTGATCATTTCAAAGAAATTAAAACAAACATAAAAGAATCATTTAAGTAAATACCATTTTGAACATTTTTCTTGTTTATATAATTTCTCTTGCTAAATGTTAATCAATTTTCACGCTAATTCAAATGAATGTTAAATAATTCCGTAGTGATTATCTCTCATTGTATTTGTTTCTATGTGAACTGAACAGTGAGTCCTCGGTGCGATCACGATAATAATAGGCCAAATCAACGGAGGACATAAATCACCGATTCGATTATTATCGTCACCGAAGATGTTCTCACGCGTCCCTACGACCTTTTACAGTGACGATTTGTAGAACTTGAGATTGTATTTATTAGTGTGTGAAGTAATTGATTGTGTAGTATGAGTTGCGACTGTCGATTGACGACTGAGAATGTCTGCTGAAGACTAAGAGTGCTACCAGAACTAAGTTGTGAGTGAGAAAATTGAAAATCTCAATGATGAGTTCATCTCAATGACTACTGAAGAATTGAGGGCATTGAGATGCCGTTCCGGAAGTTGTACCGCGAAACACTCATGCAATTTTCATCAAAATCAAATTGCACGGATTCGTTCAAACAAGAGAATATGAAAAAAATTCACGATAAAATATTTTCATTCTCAGCTTATTGTTAGCTTTCAAGAAAATCGAGTTTGAAAAATTTCTTTATCCCTACGCTTTTAATAACAAAATTACGGTTCGTCGAGCTTCATACAATACTATATGTACTATATATACAAGGTGTAAAACAATTATTGAGCACAAATGATAGGGCGTGTACAACTCACAACTGAGTGAAAAAAACTCCAGTGAACATGGGTTCAAAACTGAATAGTTTCTGAGATAAAGATAATTTTATTAGAACTGATTATTTTTAAATTATTTAAAAATTTATCAAATAACAATAAGATATTTGAATATTTTACATATGGTAATATAAGTTGACCTCGTTAAAAATCATAGGCCACGCATTCCAGTTTTTTAAAAATTAACCAGTACGCAATGTGTTGAGAAACAATGATTACAAAAAAAAACAAATGCATTAACCCGATTGTTCACCTTAAGAAAAAATTAGTTATTCTCAGCTGCTAATTTCCGAAAATCAGTTTAATATTCTGATTCCACATTGCGAAATGTATTAATTGATTAATTTTCTATACTCAAAAACATTCTAAATAATTACATATATGACATATACACATTATGACAAAGATGCTTGATATCGTTAACAATATTTCAACATGTACTTCATCTCTTCAAGCATGATATCGGTACAAAGTAAGTACTGACTCTGATACTGTTTCTAACGTTTACCTCTTTTTTTATTACATAATTATCATTTTCTTCGACTTTCGGAGACTAAATATAGTTAAAAAAATATAGACAAATTTTAACTGTTCACAAACTATGGTACCATTTATAATGGAGAAAACAGAATTTGAAAAAATTAAAAGATATTGAGAATCAGGGGTTGTTTTTGAAGGTTTACTGTTTATTATTGGCTATTTATTAGCTGCACAGAGGAATTCTAATTATAAAACAAACTAGAACTTTTAATTCTTCGCAATAAAATTTATCTTGTATACATGAAGTTTGAAAATTAAAATTTTGTAAGGAAAAATTAAATAGCATTAGACACGGTATGTTCTTATGTGGTTTGATATGGTTTACTATGTAAGTGTAGTTAAACATGCAAATGTATGCAATTTTTCATCAGTATTCTACAGTTTATTTTCGATTCTTTAGAAAAAAGTACAAAGAGATATGTACCTTCTGATTGTCATTTCCAAAGTTATTTTTATTTTAAATATCTCTTACAGTATAAATATCTGATCACACGATGTGGTGCATTTTACATTGATCATACAGGAAGGCTTAAAGTAAACAAAATTTCAAAGTTTTATTAATAAATAGAATCAAGGTATAACTGTCGCTATCGTCACCTTAATTATTTAAATTATTGTACTAATTTTATTTTATCATTTTAACTTTTTAATGCAAAGAAAGTCACACAATTGTTACGATAAATATTTACAAATCCTTTTCATTGAGATCTCATTTTTCATTTTATAATGGGTAAGGAAAAGTGAATTTTGAAAGTCTTGTTTATTGTAAGTATTAAATAAAGCGATTTCTTTTTATCAAAAGGCAACGACAATGATTAAGGAAATTTAAAAAATATATTTACTTATACATTATAAGTAATGCCAGTTAGGAAATTATAATTACTGGCATAAAAGGTCTACTTACGTTTCGTTTAATGATGGTTTACCAGTATCTGCCCGTCTAGCAGTTCTGGGTTCACCCTTCTCATCCCGGTAAAAGGCATATAGGCTTACAGAGAATCCTAAGGCGTGCAGTATTTCGTGTTTTACGGTGCTTAATAACCTTTCCAGTTCTTGTGGCTTCGTGCTGATACTTCCTGGACACAGATTTGCGTGACCAGCTATCGGCCTAAAAGTATTCGATCCTTATTCAGTTTATGTAGAAACTAATTCAAGATGAAAATTCTCATGACAAAGAAGAATATATATTTATAACAATCGAGTAAATGATTGATATTTTATGATATATTTAACAAATAATAAATACTCTGTTACTTTTTATAAAGCAATGCATCGGATATAGCTCAATATTTCATACTCAGAGATCGTAAGTTTCATTTTTTATGAGTATCCTACTGCGACTTTGATAATACATTCGCGTGCAAAATTAAGGAATCAGTAAATCTTCGGTGAAAAGTTGTTCAAATTCAAGCTGTTGTAATTTCGCGAAAATAATCGTATAATATTCTAGGTGGACCCATTTTAAAGGTAAAGTGAGAAATTTTACTGAGAAATGTTTATACGTATATTATATAACAGATGGAAGCGTAAACATATTTTTTCGTTTCGAAAATTCTTCAAATTGAAACACTTCAACAGTCGAACAAAAAACGTCTTTTTATTATTTTGGTGATCCGTTAATTTCTCGTTATATGGAGTTCCTTACAATCAGCTCGTCTAACTAATTTTGCTATCAATAGTGTGCAAGAGAAAGGAAGAAATATTCATTGTAAGTACAAGTTTAGGTACTTACGTGTTATACAGACTACCATTGTTTTCAAGAAATAAAATTTTAATAATAGTGGTAATAATGATGATAATAATAAAACATTAATAATTGTTATAATATGAAATAAATACTAGCCCAGACCTAACCCAAATGACTGACCAACGCGACCATAAATTAGGAAACAAAAGTAGTCCGTATAATGCGTAAGTATTCAAGCTTACTTTGGAGGCGAAGTATTAATACCTTGCCCTATAATTTATTTCTTAACGATGATCCATACAGCTACTTTATCGTTAAGAATATACGTATATTCTTAATAATCCTCTTAATAATTCTCTATATAATAAAGTCTACGTTTAGTCAAAAGGTTAACGATTGATAACAAAAAGGTAATATTTAATTTATATTTAAAAAAAATAAATAACATTCAGATTTATCAAGTTCAGTTTAAAATTTTCGTCACAAGTCTGACACGATATTATAGACTAAGGGGTAAATTAAATACTAATAAAATAGTTGTTCATCTTGAGCCGCGCTTAATTGTTTTTTATTAAATTAATTTAGGTATTAAGTTTCACCACGGATCTCAATTAATTTGCTGAGAAATCTCAGTCATAGTAAATTCACAGTGTTCCGGCAGAATTTAATTAAAAATCCATATAGATATATACAAAATATCACACTTTTTCAAATTTATTTTAGTTGTATTATATTATTGTAGTTGTAGGAAGAAAAGTGAAAAGTCCCACAAGAAATGAATAAATAACCGTTTAAATCCTAGTTATAATAGTTATCCATCCGATTTCTTCAAGTTATTGTTATATATTTATATTCATTTTTTTTCATGAATTGGGTAAAACAAGTAGGTTATTAAAAGTTCACAGAATAGATGAAGTAAGTAGAGTTACCGATCTAATGCTGCTTCTTGTTGGCAGTGCGCAGCATAGGCTACGGTTAATCCTTTATGGCATCTCTCGGTTTGCATTGCGGAAACATAGAAGACAAAATCAGCACCATCGATTCCTCTACCAGCTTTGCTTCCTTCTGCTATTCCGCAATTATGACCAGTTGCGTTACATGTTCGACAGACCTAAATATTTAATAAACACACGGTGTATTAAATTCTTACTTCATAAATACGGGATCCGTCTTATAAAAGTAGAGTATATACAACGATTTGCTACTCCTGAAAATGTGAACAATTTTAACAATCTCATATCCCTCTTTTATAAACTTGTAAATATTAAAAAATTGTTTGATGTTACAATTATCTTTATTGTACTTGACGATGTAACTCTAGAATTTTAACGAAACAGTGAAACAATTTTAAACAATATTGAATATAAATCAGAACTATAACCATTAATGTTTGAAGTATTTACTTGTAAACTTTTAATTAATATTTACGATCACTATTTGTACATGTTTTTTTATAATAACTTTGCAATTAATTTTATTCTATAATCTTATACACTATTTACTGATTCAAGCTTTCCATATATAGTAAATAGAACACTGACTATTCGAACTAATTAAAACAATAATCTCTCTGGATAAACGATTTTTCATATATTATAATTGGCATGTTTCTTTTTGTATGCATTCAACAATACTTATCTCATCTCGTATCACAGTCATGCTGTTTTAAATGGTTGTTCATTAAACTGTGTAATCTGCGTAATACTAACAATATGGTAATATTTCTTTCGAACCAAAATTCCGTGGCAACTAAATAAATTCATTTTAATATGGTTACTAAATTATCTACACAAATCCAGTCAAACTATAACATATCTAAATGTAATGCTATATTTAATCTGGTTACGTATGTATCATTCAAAATGGCTAAGGTAACATTTGTGTTTGATTGTAAACGTTCACAGACGTTTTTTAAAAAATGATAACTTCTTAGGTATATAATATTTGAAATTGAAAATGCTTTAATATTTGTAAGAAGTATTGAAAAGTTATATTTTTAAATAAAAAATTATAATTTTTTATGGATGCTATTTTTATTCATTGATAGTTGCCCTCAGCAGTTAATATTTATTCTAATGAAGTTTAAACGTATTCATATGCTTAGAATTACAGCAATTTTTGTTTATCCATTACGAGGGAGGTGAAACTTTACTAAACTTACACATTAACTTAATAATAGATATAGTAAAGGCGTGCGGAATGCTTCATAATATTTTTAGAATGAAGATAGGTACAGAAAAGTGGATTTTTTCACTTGCCAGGGCTTATTAGATGACAATTCAGAAGAAAATACTATTTCTCCTCATAAAGTATATGGCAAAAAGGAAGACATGTTGCCCTGGCAACCGTTTCGGCAAATTGCACAACACAGACGTGTGGTAATGGGCGGGGCTCCTATTCCGATCACTCGGACTCGTATTTCTTTCATTAGCATTCTTGTGTGAAACGCATGATAGATGTACCAAAATGTTGAGTTTGTAATATTGTTGTAAGCATATATAATACAATAAACATTATACAATTAAGATAAGTTTAACTGAATATAACACATTTTTATATAAAATTGTTAACCCTTCTTTTTAAGATCAGGATGAATTGTGCGAGAATCTTCTTACATCCTTTTCCATCAATCGAAAAATGTAGAATCAAGATGTGTGGCGGTGGCGTCATATGTTTTTGAAATACCATTTACATTTAAAAATCAATTAAACAGATATTCAAATATAATTGATTTTAAACGAGTATTTAGGAAGGCATTTATGGTGATAATTTGATTGTAAAATATATTTTTGTTATTAATTATTGATACTGGAATAGATGTATGAATGAATAGTCATGTGACACGTAATACCTTATACAAAACCTATTTTGTATTGGATAAATATTTATCCAAGTTGTAATTTTTAGTTACCCCAATTATATTATACTCACTACTGATAGTAAACTTCGAAAAATAGTATTCTCCCTAATGAATATCTTGTTGTTATATAAAATAACGAATTTTTTCTTACGTCGAGATGATGTTCGGGGACGACTACTTCACCGCACATGGTGATTGGACGGCAGGTATCTATACAGTGTGTATGATGGTCTTTAACGAAGACTTGGCTACTTTCACATTTCCTAAAACAAAAACAGTTAATACACAATTACCTAGTTGCAAAATTCTTCAAAATAATAAAATAATAACATTAACAGCAATAACCAATATTAAACTTAAAATACGTATCTATCACGAAAATTTATTCGGAATGTATAAAAACATATTCGCAATTTTCCTCAAAACTTCACATGCTTATGTTCAGGTTACAAGTTCAAAGTGTTACAGGTTCTGTCAGGATATTATTCGGAAAGGTCAGAAAACGCAGTTGTATAAAATAACGTAGTGACTGATACATCGTGTTGCACAGATCGTTCGACTAAAAATCAACTACTATTGCGGGTTGTTTGCGAAATGAGCCCCATGACGACAGAGGGGCAAGGGGGATCTCTTGTTAAGAGTTTTGTTTATGGATTTTATTTGTTACAAAGGTATAGCAAATTACTACTGCAGATGAGATGAGAAAAGATGAAAGTTGACCAATGAGTATATACGTATAACAGCACACCTGCAAACAAACGCGTATGTATTTTTACAATCTTTATAAGTATTATATGTCAACCCTAATAAATTCTCGATAGTTCCAGTGTTAAGTGGCAGGCATTTAGGATTTGTCAGTCGAGTATCGCAACTCTACTTTTTCGAAGAAAGCCAAAGCGAGCTTGTCCTAAAAATTGTTTACACTGCATTACTGTTGCTCCACAAAGGCTGTGAGTTTAGTGTGTGACAAATCCTGATATTCTCAATGGACCGTTGATGGGATACATATGTTTCCCTTCTTTTCTAACAATTTTTTGTTAATTCTCAAATAGTATATTTTTCATTTCTTCTCTGAATCCTACAGTCAAGCTGTCGAAGAATAATTTGGAATGCAAGAATACGAAGAATGAATATGATAATTTTTCAAAGATATGTATTAGATTTTACTTCTTATATTCTTCTACTTCATTTTACTATTTTTATAAAACACACTTTTTACCAAATACACTGTGGAACAAATTTTGACCTATGTTAGTTTTTGCAATAGCCACTATGTAATTCTTATAGAGTTCCTTACCCTAAATACGTATCCGAAAACCAAATTGCTGGGTCAGGTCCAGTTTTCGAAAGAACTGAGATTTTGTAAAAACGGTCGAATTTTTCAGAAAACCAAGGGTTACGTGAAAACTAAAAGCGATAGGCAATATATTTATATTTAAATATATCTATATTTAAATAACCATAGTTGGTACTCCATGCCTGTACGTGTACACGAAATCTTAACAATTGCCACACTTAACGATATACATTATTATTAAATAGGTATTATTATTGATTACTGTAGATACTTTCATAAATATCCCCGAAACCAAAACAATATACACATAGTTGAATGAACATTTGGGACATAATGTGGTATGATTTTTTTTCATATTTGTTAATTATTAACGAAACTACACAGCTTTAAAAAAGGCAACGTCGAAAAAATTAAAAACAAAAATAATCATTTACAATCTTACTGCTTTTATAATTTAAATAATTCCAAGTGGCACTATGTATATGTTTGAATATTACCATATTTCATACCGATATCATAAATATTTTTTTAATTATACGATATTTAACATTTTCGATA